CTGGCGCATAATGGTTGCCCTGCCGCGGAACGGTTAGCAATGCCCAGCTCCGGCAACTAAACAAAAAGTAGTCGTGCAAACTGGGGATGCTCACCTGGCTGTTGGTGCCAGAGCTCTTGTAGGAGTATCCCTTGTCAGACATGATGACGATCGGGGTCAAATTGACAGATGCAAAGCTGATGCGAAACGCTGGAAGATGTTGACGACGATGGAATGAGAGTGAGTTGTGGAAACCAAGAGCTCTTCGCTGGTAGGCGAGTGCCGGATTATATAGAGCAGCAATTGGACTGTTTGTTAGTGGCCTGAGGGCCACCCCCCCACATGCGGGGGCCTTCCCTGACCACGACAAGCTTGCGCGGGCAGGTAGGGTCGAGACGAATGGATCTCGGGTTAGCGCACCTGCAGAATCTCCCCGCATTACTTGCTTATTGTTGGAAGGTATCCCGTTCGGGTTGGAAGGGACCAAATCGTTTTGGTACCCCCGGCACCCACATGACCCTCGAATGCCTTTCCTGCTCACCGCCTCCTAATGATCGGCTAGTGATCAGGTGCGTGGAGGAGACCGCCCAGCGGCGAGTTCGAGAAAGGCAATGGCAAATCTAGGGTATATTTCTATCGCAGCCATGGCTGGGCATACCCACGGTAGTCTATATACAGCCGCAACTCTATAGTTTCCCATCCGCCTGCTCATCCTCGAGCTCCTCCAGGTACTTCTCCGCGTCCAACGCCGCCATGCAACCGGTGCCTGCAACCCGTTAGTAACGCAAACCACTCCACCTCGGCAAGGAGCGAACATACCCGCGCTGGTGATCGCCTGCCGATACCTCTTATCCTGGACATCCCCCGCCGCAAACAACCCCTTGACGCTAGTAAGGGTAGAGCCGGGAATCCGTGCGGACGTAACCCTCGGCGTCAGTATCCAGCTGCCCCTTGACGAGGCTCGTAGCCGAGGTCGTGGCCCGACAGGCGTAGAACAGCCCATTGGTCCTCGAGGGTCTCCTCGAGCGCCGGACACGACATCCTTGACGACGAGGTGAGCTCATCAGCCCCTTGTCGTCGCCCTTGACCTCGACGCCGACCGTGTTGAAGCGCACCGTGACCTTCTTGTTGGCCAGCAGGCGGCGGGCCATGATGCTGCTGGCGCGCAGCTTGTCGCGGCGCACCAGCACGGTGACGTGACTGCCGTACTTGGTCAGGAAGATGGCCTCCTCGGCGGCCGAGTCGCCGCCGCCGATGACGACAAGAGGCTTGTTGCGGAAGATGGGCACCGCGCCGTCACACACGGCGCAGGCCGAGATGCCGTTCTGCCAGTACTTGTCCTCGCCGGGCAGGCCCAGCCGGCGGGCGGACGCGCCCGTGGCGAGGATCACGGCGTCGGCGGTCATGACGGTGTCCGGGCTCCACTCGGTCGAGTACTCAAACGGCCGCTTCGACAGGTCCAGCTTGCCGACCGTCTCGCTCACGATGACGGTGCCGAACCGCTCCGACTGCGCCCGCATCTTGTCCATCAGCTCCTGGCCCGTCACGGCCTCGGGGAACCCCGGGAAGTTCTCGACTTCGGTCGTTGTCGTCAGCTGGCCGCCCGCCGCCACGCCGTTGGCCATGAAGCCCTCGTACAGGACGGCTATCAACAGGTTAGTTAGTGTTTCTACTGGGAAACGGTAATCTCTCTAGGGAGAAGGGATGAAGGGATCGCGTGATGCTTACGCTTCAGCTCGGCGCGGGCCAGGTAGATGGCGGCGGTGTGGGCGGCCGGCCCAGAGCCGATGATAACGACCTTGCTGTGCATCCTCCGCTTGCCGATGGTGTGGATCTCGCTCTGGTAGTAGGGGGTGCTCTTCTGGGAGAGCGTTGCGGCAGCAGCTACGGAGAGTCCACTGGCGCTGGAGCGGAGGGTGCGTCTTAAGTATGAGGCGAACAGCTTGGCGGTTTGCGGCTGTGGGCGGGGAGCGGGGCTTTGTCAGGGGGAGCGAAGTCGGGGCTTCTGGGCGCTTCTCTTATTTCTTTTATTAAATAAAACCTTCTTCTAAGGCGGTGCTTGATTCCAAACCAGCGCGTTTTTATTTTACTCAGCCAGGGGCGGGACAATGCATGAACGTGGGGTCGTCCCAAAAAATGGGATTTGGAGGGGCACGAGGGGCAAGGCAGGGGTCTCTTCAACATTGGTCCCTGAATGTGGGTTAGGGTTAACCAATGGCTACATTGCTCGGCATATACCTACACCAGTACTACACTCCGACACAGATCACAGCTTGCTCTGGTCCTCCTGAGGAACAGTGACGACCACTTTCCCCCACGTCCCTCTGCTACCCAGGGCCTTTAGCGCGTCAGGGATGGCCTCGAGCCCGACATACTCCTTGTCCGTAAACTCGGTGCCCCTGAACTTGCCCTTGGCGATCAACTTCATGATCCCCTGCCACACCGTCACCACCGTCTCCTTCTCGTGGACGGCATACTGCCCCCAGTGAATGCCCACAAGGCTGATGTTCTTCAGGAGCACCTTGTTCATGGCCACCTTCTCGATGGTGCCCGCGGCGAACCCGACAATTAGGATACGACCATTCCAGGAGGTGCACTTTGTGCTCTTGTCGACCATGCCCACGGGGTCGTAGACGATGTCGACACCCCTGCCCTTGGGCGTCAATTTCTTGACCAATTCGGGCCACTTTGGGTCTCGGTAGTCGACGACGTGATCTGCGCCGAACGCCTTGGCTACTTGGAGCTTACGTTCGGTGCCTGCTGTGGCGATGACAGTCGCACCAAAAGCCTTTGCGACTGTAAATGTGTTGGTTAGCGTGTGGTGGGCGACGCCTAGGTCCGTAGGTCATAACAAACTTTGAACAGCTGCAAGCCCAACGCCTCCAGCCGCAGCATGGACGAGCACATAGTCGCCTGCTTTGACTCCGGCACGGACAACCAGCGCACCGTAACTTGTGGGGGCCGTCACAAACAGTCCCGCCGCCTCCTTGTAGCTCCAGCCCTCGGGGACAGCCAGCATGCTGACTTCCTTGGCCACACATTTGGTGGCATATGCCCCCTGGGTGGCTCCGAAGACTCTGGAGCCGACGGGGAACTTGGGGTTCTTGGAGTTGGCGGGCGTGGCCAGCACGATGCCCGCGAACTCGGCGCCAGAAACCCAGGGGAAGGCTATCTCAAGTTAGTCCAATTGATCAATAATTCTTGGAGTGCGAGTTTCTTACGCGGCTGGTGCTGATATTTGCCTTGGATTTGCAGGATATCAAAGAAGTTTGTTGCTGCTGCGTGGACCTCGATGAGATAGTCATCCGGGGCCGGCTTGGGGTCCGCCAGCTCCGTCACCTTGAGCTCATGGGCAGCCTATCAACGGTTAGTTATGCGCCATGCATCTTGTAAACCCACGATAAATAAATCAACAAAACAGCCGCGATATGTTGACGCGCTTACCTTGACGTAACTCGCTACTTGAATACCTCGCATCTTGAACGCTGAAGCTCGAAAATAAAAGACGATTTAACGGATAACGGAGTGGCAATTGGGATGGCAGCCAGGGGTGTGTTTGGATGAAATGTGTAATCAAGTAGAGCAAATAAACACGATGGGACTAATAACAAGAGGTTGGGAAACTACACGCTTACCCCAGACTTTCCCCATCTTATACGTTCCATGTTCGGCCCCTGTTCGTTCGTTCGTTCGATACCGAACCCGCGGGGCATCTTTCCCGAGCCGAGGTAGCTGGCTGATTAATACTGATTGGTTGATTATTTGGTGTTGACCCACCAGCGCCGATCTTCTTGGCAGACGCGATCTCGAACCCACAAAGCAAGACTGACATCTTTCAAGCCTCAACCGCATCTTCAACCAGCCGACAATACAACAACTCGGCAACCGATCTCAATAACCACACCCCGAACGCCTGAAATCTACACAGACACCAAACCTACACCCCCTGAACCGAGACACTCCCAACAAAACACACCACCCTCCCACAAACCGCCGCCATGGCGACGACCGACACCCTCGCGGGCGGCACACCCACTACCTCCTCCCTCGCCTCCCGCCTCCTCACGCACAGCGCGCCCAGCTACACCTTCACCTTCACGCCCTTTCTCCAGCGCACCTACCAACACAGCCTCCCCGCCGACCGCCCCATCTGCAAAGCCTTCCTCTCGGGCTCCTGCCCGCTCAAATCACACTGCCCCGACCGACACACCACCCCCTCCGGCACCAACACCACCTCCACCACCACCACCCACGGCCGCGACGGCGGCGGCGGCGGGTTCGGCTCGCTCGTGTGCAAGCACTGGCTCCGGGGCCTCTGCAAAAAAGGCTCCAGCTGCGAGTTCCTGCACGAGTACAACCTGCGCAAAATGCCCGAGTGCAACTTCTTCGTTCGCAACGGCTACTGCAGCAACGGCGACGAGTGCCTGTACCTGCACATCGACCCGTCGTCGCGGCTGCCGCCCTGTCCGCACTACGAGCGGGGGTTCTGTCCGCTGGGCCCGCGGTGCGACAAAAAGCATCTGCGGCGGCGGTTGTGTCCGTATTATCTGGCCGGGTTCTGTCCCGATGGGAGGGGGTGCCGGGTCGGGGCGCACCCGCGCTGGCCGAGGGAGGGGGAGTTGGAGAAGCCGCGGGTGAAGGAGGAGAGGCCGAAGGAGGAGGTGACGGCGGAGGAGAGGGAGAGGGAGAGGGAGAGGGAGCGGGAGATGCAGATGCAGAGGGATATGGAGAGGGGGAGGGATAGGGATGGGGAGAGGGGGCATGATGGGCGGCGTGGGGATCGGTTTGGCGGCGGCGGTGGTGGGAGAGGAGGGAGGTGGAGAGGCGGGAAGGGTGGCCGGTTTCGGGGAAGGGGCCACTAGATAGGGGGTTCTTCACGAGCTCGTCCACGGTATTAGGCACCAGTTATAGATTGCAGGGGTTATTGGCATCCATTGCCTTTGATATTTGCGTTGACTCTCATTCTTGTTCTTGAAGAGTCGTGAGGTGAGGTGCTACTTGCTGTTGAGCGAAGTGAGACGCGCCAGCCATATATACTCCAAACCATGATAAATGAACTACAGTGTTCAATCAGTCCTCCTCCAGACATTTGAGTCCCCGACTTGCTCCAAAGGCGGCACCGCAACAAACGAATCGCTCCCTGCTTCATCGCTCCTTGCCGACTTGGGGCTGCCGAACGTGGACGACCCGTTGCCCTGCCATGTTGCCAGCTCTTTCACGCGTCTGATCCCCATCATCCATGACACCAATCCCTTCGGCACCCACCGGCCGACAAACCCGTATATGTTGGCCCCCAACCCGACCTGCACCGTCCCGTTCGTGAGCGACCCATCAATGACGTCAAACACGGCATTATGTAGCTCCTTCAACGAGCTGCCCCGCATCCCCCGTATCCGCCCAGCGCCAATGGCCGACCCGGACTGCGAGACAAAATTCTTCCCGTACGCGTGCCGCGCCGAGTCGGGCCAGGGCAATGCCTCGGCATCTTCTGGCGCCGTGAGCAACCCGTGGGGCTGAAGCAGGCGGGAATTTGCCGCCGGCGTGAAGCCCGCAAAGTCAAACGTGCCCAGCTGCATGTGCGTTACGGGGATTCCGAGTGGCCGAAGCTCGCCCGTCAGCACTTCGGTGAAGGCCGAGAGGGCGGAGCAGATGGTCGCTTCGGGAGCGTGGAAGGGTGGGTTGATGGATGAGATGATGGACGGCGTGAAGACGAGGACTTTGGGGCTCGGCCGTTCCTTGTCCGACGGTGGGCTGAGGCGCGCGGTGAGAAGGGGGAGGAAGGCTTGGATAGTGAGGATCGGCTGGAGGAGGTGGGTGTTGAAGAGGTCGGCGAAGCTCGACGGCGGGATGGTCGCGATGGGCGAGGTCTGGTAATTGAGCGACGGGATGAGGATGACAGCCTTGAGCAATAGATGGTGCCGCTTGCCGTTGGGGATGGCGGCGTGAGTAGACTGGAGGTAGCGGGCGAAGGTGTCGATGGAGGTACCGGTACTCGGGGGCTAGGGGTGGTCAGTCTAAACCCGGCATGTGATTGAAAGCGGGGTGGAGGAGGGGGAGGGGTAACCTACATCGGTGATATCGATGCTCAAAGGCCGGATGTCTGGTCGCGCTAGGTGCTGAATCATAATCTCATCCTCATGGCTGTTGGCTACGACGAAGACAACGAATCCTTTGCGCTCTAGGTCTAACGACAGCGACCTCGTCAAGGGCAGCGCCGGGGAACCAGCGATAACCACCACATCCATCCGGCCACCACTGCGGGAGCGCCTAGCGCGCCTAGTTTTTGACCACCGCGCCGTAGTCTTGTATGTCCGGTAGGCAATGAAGCCGGTAGTCACGACGACAAAACCGACCAAGACCCTGTTTCTGGAGATCCAGTTCTGGACCCTTTCGAGGGCGGATGCCGGCACGGTTATGACTGACGGCGGAGGGGTCGGCCGTGGGCGGAACTGCTCGGGCACCCATTGCGAATTGGCGATAGTATCTCGGAGTGTTTCTGCTATTTGTTCGACATGTTTATCTACGTAGTCGGCCACATTGCCCGAGTATTTTCGGATATCGTTCGGTAGGGACGATAGCTAGAATGGTGGTGGGTCAGTACCTATCGTGGATGGGATTCGTAGATTGCCTCTGAAGGCGGAATGCGGGGTGGTGAGGAGTCATACCACGTCTAAGAACGCCTGATCGTCCGCGGACATGGTGGTGGCGGAATGGGTACAGCTCCCTGTATTGTTACTCGGCCTGCGACTCGAAATGCGCGTTCAAGGTAAAGCCAATGAGCTGCTAGGTATTGCGGGTTGCGAAGGTTGAAAATGCTGCCTTTATCGGCCCGTGGGTTGGTGGTGGTTATCCTTATCAGGCGTCTCGGCACACGCCATTGCTGAAGACGGGTCCACAGAATTGATTGGCCGTCAAGGTATTGCCTGATTAAGTTAGCCAGGTGGGATAGTTTATGTCGTTTACAAATTGTTAATTATCGCAATTCAACTCATCCATATCTTCTAATAACGATCCTATCAAGCTCAATGCTAAATCAAGGATTGAAAGGCTTAAACACACAGCCCCCTCCCAAATCTAAAGCTTTCTAGCCACCACCCTCAACCGCACATAACTCAGCATATACCCACCCCCCGGCTGACTACAAACCACCTCCAACACCTCGACCACCTCCCTTATACACTCCTCCCTCTCCCCCTCCGGCAACACCTCAAACCACTTCTTCCCCATCAACCTCACCCACCCCTCCACCCCGCCAACATCCGCCACCGTCGGCCGCCACTCCCTCTCCACCCTCTGCACCTCCCACCCCCCCACCGTCCCCTCCAAAAACCCCTTCACCCACTCCTCGTCCGGAAAAAACCACGGGTCCGCCGCCGCCGCGCGCGCCACCCCGACGCGCCGCCCCACCGCCGAGAGCAGCGCCGCCCGCACCTCGGCCACGTTGCCCAGCCCGCCCATCTCAAAGGCAAAGGTGCCGCCGGGCTGGAGGGCGGTGCTTACGCCGCGGAACACGGCTTCGCGTGTGGACGGTGCCGAGAGGATCCAGTGCAGGGCGGCGTTGGAGAAGGCTTTGGTGAAGGTTGAGGGGGGGAGGGTGGTGGTAGTGGAGGTGGGGAGGGTGGTGAGGTCGAGGACTGGGACGTGGTGGGTGAGTGACTGAGTGGCGGGTGTGGGTGGTGAAGGTAAGGAAGTAGGTACATAATGTCATGGGGGGGTAGATGGGAAGAAGGCGAGCCACCGGCTTACCTTCAAAAGTGCATTGTTGGCGAGCCCCTCGGATTCAGCGCTGCTTTGGCGGCGGCGATCATGGCCGGGGAGCTGTCGATGCCATGTACCCGTGTGCAGATTTTCGCCATCTCCACATCAAGGACGCCGTCTGGGAGGTAACGTAAGCTTGGGTGTCAGGTCCTGGCAAGGCCGAGTGTAGAGTAGGTATTATTGAGAGGGAATACTGATGTAGGGGAGAGAACCAACCTCCACAGCCAACGTCGAGGATCACGTCGTCTTTCTGCGGATCCAGCCATTGCATGACCTTGGTGGCCAGCTTGGGGACGAACGATGCCGCATTCTGGTAGGCCTACTTGTTGTTAGTTATTCAGCTTCGACAGTAGGAATTCCGCAAGTTGGGGTAACTGAGAGGGCCGGTTACGTCAGAAGACCAGTTATCTTTTTGTTCTGCCATGGTTATGCGTCTGCGGAAGGTGTCCGAGGGAAGTAATTGATGGTCTGCGGGGAAATGTAGAAGGAAGGTCTGGGATATTTGGGGTCTTTATATCCGTAAACCAACAGGGCTGCCAAAGTCCCAGCTCGTGTTTCGGTCGCAGCTGGGGAAGCATGGGTTGGGAGAGTGATCACAAAAACGCCGATGTCGGCGCTTCAGGGGCGGCCACCACTCGTCGCGACAAGCATATCGATCATGTACTAGTCTCAGAGGAAAACATCATGATGGCAGCAATTGTTAAAATAATGCGGTAACGGAGCTATGGCTGGCTCCAAATCATCGCTCCTGGTTCGCCGCCCGTCCGTGGCCCTCCGATATCCCGCCGCTTGCCGCAGCCTACTCACCTAGAGCACCCCTTTCACATTCCTCCGGATATTCTAATTAATCGAGCTCATCCAGATCCATTAGCTGGTATTTCTCGTTCCCAAGCCCGTCCTCCACCCTTTTCATGATCGCGAGGACTTTCTCCTCTTCCAGCCGCCGCCCTATTACTTGCACACCCACAGGCAACCCGTGCATGCGCTCGGCATCGTAGTGTTTGTAAGCGCCTCGCGCCACTCGGTTCAGGTTCTTCGTGCTGAAAGAGGTGGGTAGCTGGTCCAGCCCCTTGTGCACGTGCGTGATGGGAAGGACACCGGCCGAGTAGTCGAGCTGTAACCATAAGCATGAGTCAACGAGATCAAGCTGCTCCACGGCGACTTACCAGGTTGAACAAGAATGTGTATCCACAGCTGCTCACAGCATCCCGCATCCCGTCATGCGGTACCGCAGGCGTGGCATTCGGCGGCGAGATGATCACATCCAGTCCCTGCTCGTCCCACCACTCAAACCAACTCGCCCGGTACGCCTCTCGCTGGCTGACCAGCTTCCAGTTTTCGAAGGCCGACTGCGCCCGCCAATGCCTGACCAGCCCCTGCCCAAACGTTGATCCCGCTGTACGTATTTTACCCACAGGTAGTAGATATACCTGAATGGCGACCACAGCCCAGCCAGCCTCCTCATTTGTGTAGCCCCGGCATCGAGCCACTCTCCAGGCCGCCGGAACGACTCAAACATCTGGCATCCGTCGGCATTCAACAGCATCGACGCAAGCCTCAGCCCCTCATACATATCCGGGGTCCCCTCCACTTCGACAATCTCACACCCTTGACTCCTCAGCGCCTCTTCAGCCATGCTCAGCGCCCTCGCACACGCAGGGCTCGGGTCGACCACGCCATCCGTCCTCAACACACCCACCCTCAGCTTCCGCGCGGCGGTCGCAAACTCCCTCTCCACCTCCCCCCTCCACGGCAGCGGATGCACCGTATAGTCGTACCTCCACGGTTCCATCTCTCCCAGCACCGCGCGCGTAAAGTATGTCAGATCCCCCAACGTCCTCGCCATCGGGCTATACACGCTCGGCACGCCCTCCTGGCCGGGCATGCTCGTCGCGATCCCCGCCTTCGGCCACCGCCCCGTCGAGCAGCGAATCGAATAACACCCCGCAAAATGCGCCGGCACCCTCACACTCCCCGCCACATCACTCCCAATCCCCAATCCTTTCCCCCCATCGCCAGCAGCGCCGACTCCCCCCCCAGTACTCCCCCCCGGCGAATAATCCGCATTATGCGGATTGCGACAGCGCCCCCACAACTCATTCGCGCTCTCAAAACTCAACAGCGAAATCGGCAAATTCGTCTTCACATACGGCACGGCGCCCGCATCCTTCAACATCCTCACCATCGGCCCATCCCGCGCCGCCCTCCTACCCGCGAACCCCGAGTACCCCACGGTCGCATCATAGCCGCCCACCACGACCGTATCCTTCAAGCTGACCGGCACGCCCGCCAACGGCCCCGCCAGATTCACCGCCCCCTCCCCCTCAACACCAACACCACCCCCCGCCTCCGCCGCCACCACCCACCTCTCCGCATCGGGCAGCAGGATCTCGGTCAGACAATTCGTGCGCGCGTGAGCCTTCAGCGCCAGTCGGCCGTAGGAGCGCAGGACGGCGAGGGCGGTGAGGGAGCCGCCGGCGTGGACGGAGGCCACGAGCGATTCGATGGGCTGGGTGAGGATGGCCTTGTCGGCCGGGGTCAGTGGGCCGTGGTAGGCGGAGAGGGAGGCGGCGAGGCGCCCGCGCTCGGTTTGTTTGGTGCGGCAGTCGCGGCGGTGGTGGAGATAGTCGAGGAGGAACATGGTTTTTTTGGCTGTTTCTCTTTTGCTTGATTTGTTGTTGGGTGTGTCTGTGTGTGTGTGTGTGTGTGTGTGTGTGTGTGTGTGTGTGTGTGTATGTGTGTGTGTGTGTGTGTGTTTGTGAGTGGGTATGGGTGGGTGGGTGCGTGTGTGCGTGCCTTTTTTGATTATGGGGCGGTGGTCATGAGTATCTATGTATGTGCCTGGTTGGGTTGTGGTTGGAGTGGTGATGTGGTGGTGGTGGGGGTTGCAGAGTGGTAAGGCAGCAATGCGAGGGAGGTTAGGTTAGGTAGGTGGGTTGTCCGGGTAGATCTCGATCCCGCCTCCTCGGGTGGCTTCTGTTACAGTCCGGGGTTGCACGACGCTGGGTCCGGGACGCCGAGACTTGAAGGAAATGTTTGTTTGGTTCAAAAAGTGATTGGAATGGCAGGAGAGACCGGAAACAAGTGCACCCAACTGGTGTAAGTGATAAGATAGCGGGAGGCAGGTGATGTGTGGGGAAGCGGAGCCCGACGGCAGGCTTCCCCGCATACCGGACCACTCCGCTTTGCCCGTTCCGATAAGGCCCCACCCAGGCCGGGTGCTTGAGCCGCTAAGAGCCGATTCCCAGCGCCTCCCCGCCCCCTGTTTTGGGGTCAGACGTGGCGGGGCACGGGGGCTCGGGGGACGAATATCTGAGATGTGCTGGCCGGCGTTCTGTTAAAATTTGATATCGCTCATATTTTGATCCTACAGATGTACCGAGGTAAACAGCGACATAATTCTCGACTCAGATGTCAGTCGCAAATTAACAATCCGAGGTCGAGTAAACCGAGCAAACCATGCGCTCCCTGACAGCACCGCCAAATGCAAGGCAAACCTGCTGCCCACTCTGGATCAACATAACGAGAGGCTTTGCCGGAAACTCGCCCGGCTCAGGGCAAACCGTACCAATTCCAGTTGCCCGCCAGTCCCATATCGTAACGCCATCCCTTCCTCGTATGTTATACACGCATTTGGCCTCCCATCCTTCAAAGTCCCTACAGCAACCCGTCATGTGCTGGACTCCTCGTTTTTGTTACTAGGCTGCGGCCCTCCACTGACGAGCGTGGGCGCAATCCGTCTCCGCTTCGAATTGTTACCCGAAGGTTCATCCGCCTCATCCTCGGTCTCCCGCTTAGTGCCCGTGGGCGCGGTAAACGAAGCCCGGGGAGTCTCGGGCGGCGTCGTGATGGGGAGGCCGACAACCTTGCTCGAGTTTGTGGCTGCTATGCTGGGCACCTGTCCCGATATCAAGGGCGGGTTGGTAAGAACGCCTGTCTGCGAAGCTGATACAGACGAGTTCGAGCTGGACCGTGCTGGCGACCCCGCGCGCGGATTGACAAAAGAAGCCGTTACCGTCGGCGGCGACGGTGCCGTGAGCGAGCTGACCGAGTCCCAGTGTCTATGATGGGACCCGTTCGGGAACGGCGAGGGCGGGGCAAATACTGACGTCGGGGTAGGCACGGGTGTGTTCTGGTTGGACGCAGTGGCGACAGAGGGCTTAGGAGGCCCAAGATCTCCGGTATAGACGGTGCCAAGTTCGCCGGGGGCGAACGACAGGGTCGAACAGAACCCATCCGAGGATGATATAAGCAGCGTCAACCCGTCACTCGACCTATTAACTGTGTCAGCATCGGTCTCTCACCAATAAGAACCAAAAGACCTACCATGTCAGATCTGTGAACGTGGCGCAATGCAGATTGCTCACCACACAAATAGGCGTATGTTGCTGCGTATCATACAGCAAGACCGAATCCTGGGTTGCCACGGCGTACACCATCCGATACGGCAACGCGAACACGGACTTTGGCCCCTGACCTTGTACACTGGTTTCCAAGCTCAGAGTCTTCGAAGAAGTTGAAGCCTCTACCAATGCCGGCGGCGGCGGTGGCTCCATGACTGATGGGGCCGGTGAAGGCTTGGCCAGGGGCTCCGGGAGGGACGGAATGGGCTCCTCGGCAGAGGAGCTATCGATAGTGATGTTTTTGGTGACGGGAGGGGACTGTCTTAGGGTATAGACAATTGGTGAGCAACGCACAGCAACAGAGGGCTTCTTGTGGCCCGGTAAATGCGCGATCGGAGGCTTGTTGATACCACCACGAGTGTATATGTAAACGGTGTTGATGACCTCATACGTGGGCTTCGAGCCCTCCATTTGGTGCTGGGTCTGGTACTGCCCGGCGGGGGTGAGAAGAAGACTTCCATCGGGAGTAAATGTCAATCTCCGGAAAAACGAAGTGAGGGTCTCGTTGGCGTAGAGGCTGGCATTTTTCATGCCCAGACCCATGCCGTTGAGGTGCGGCTTTGGGGAGGCTTCGATCGGCATCACAGCCGGCAGAGGCATCGACGGGGCGGGCGAAACGGAACGCCTAGATGACGAGAATGACGTCCTCCGGCTGTGGGTGATCACGCTCGGAGGGTTCATCGGTAGTGCAACCGACGTCGGAGTCCCCGGGGCGGAGGGGACAGGCGAGCCAATTGCGACCCCCGGCACGGCATCGATCGCCGCGAGGACCGACCGGTAACCTATATCGGGCGGTGCCGGACTGCTGGAGGAGATCCGCCGGGGGGGTAGGTCGGTCTTGGCATGGCTCGCGAGCTTTGAGGGTTTGTCGTCGTGGTTGTGGAGGGTGTACTGTCCGTCCTTCGTCCTCAAGGAATAGATGTGCACGGAACGGTCCGATGATTGTGTGGCGATGTACTCGTTCAACGGGTCCCACGCGACGCCCTGGACATAATGGCTGTGTTCGGCAATCTGACGGACAAGAGTCCCTAGGATATTCAATTAGCAAGCCTTCCCCATCTTGGTGTCAGGAGAGTAACCCACCTGTCCCTGCGTTGTAGATCCGCGCCACGTTGTCCATGCTTCCAATGATGAAGAACGACGCATCTGGCGACCATGCAAGGTCATAGATTTCCGTCCCAAGCGACCGACACATATGCTTTGTCCGCCATGTCTCCTTGTCGTCGAGGCCCTCTGAGCCAAACGTCGGGTGGTGGGTGTCGGACCGGACCCATAAGATCACGTTCCCATCATCGCCAGCGGATGCGAGGACCTCGCCTAGGGGATGTCAGTATACCTCCGGGATAGGTACTAAACCATGCACTGGGATCTTGCTTACCCTTAGGAGCCCAGCGAACGACATTTACTGCCTGGGTGTGTTTCGCGAGCGTCGCTATGTAGTCGACCTTTTGTTCGGCGCCATCCTCTTCTATCTTCCACAGCTATCGCTGTATTAGCGAGGGACCCGGGGAAGGTCAGGGGCGCAGCGCGGTAGGCCACCTACCCGAACATTGTTGTCTCCGGCGCCCGTCGCCAATCGGCCTTTGCCATTGGGTTCGAAATGGGCCGAGTAGATTGGGTAGGGGTTGTTGTTATCGTGATGCCAGTTTATGATTAACGGAGTTGCCTTCATTATGAGGACGGGCCGGCTGCAACGCCGTTGTCATGGAAGTGATATTGCTTTCTACCACTTCCGACTCGCAGCTGTGGTCTAGGCCTGAATGATGATCGGTGGAGGATGGTCGAATCGAGAGAGCGCGATGCTAGGTTAATGAGACAAGCTGAAAAGTGTTGGGGTCTTTCTCGCGAGGTCAATTGGCCAGGAAAACGGCGGGCGTGTTGAGACGGCAAGCCGCCCCGGTCAATACGCGTTTCTGATGTTGGCGCTGGCGGCTGTGTGGCTTGGGTGTAGTCAGACACGTCGGGTGCTTGGAGCCGGGAGCGAAGGATAATAAGCGGGTCTCATCCGGGGTCTCGATGCACGCGGATGAGGCGGACAATCAGATCGATCGTGTTGGTTTGCCGCGAGAGGATGCACTATCTATCATCTGCAGTTGAGTTTACAGGTTTCCGACCGAATTGAAGCTCCTTGCATCCTTGTCTGTCCCCAGCCTTGACCCCCTCGCATGCTTGCGTGGGAATTAGAATAAGCCAATCAGCAAGCTGTAGTACTCTCACGCCCCACTCTAGTTAGGGAGTGGCTAGTGGCGAGCCGTCAACACGAATGCGTGGTTGTGCATTGGTGAAGTCCGGCCTGGACCGTGACACGCTGCAAGTCATCAACACCCGACTTGAACGACGTGATTGGGGCCTTGGTGCCAATCGCATCCCATTGTTCCAGCTCGTCAGAGAAAGGTTGTGCTTCATCTGCTTCATCCCAATAACTCATGGCTTTTACTCATCCCGAGGAAGTGACAGAAAGCAAATGTAGCTGGATAACTATCAACTGTGGCGTATCAAAACACCCCGCCATCCCGTCCTTTGGTCAACCCTTTCCAATCGTTTTCCTTCTAATTTCCAGCTCATCACACCAGTCGTGCCAGTTCATGGCAAGGCTGATGAAGATCCCGCCACTGAAGACGATCAAAAGCACAAGATCCGTGCAGGGCTGACATAACCCTAACCCCCTTTGACGCAATCCGACTCATGCCGAATTGAACCTCTCACTAACTTGCTGGCTGCCAAGGCAGCAAAGGCTCGGAATGTCGAAACTATGCTGCCTGAGTAAAGTTACGCAGGTTGACGCACAGTCAGTGACAGATTTCATAGCAAAAACCTGTAGTTTGTCACGCCGAAGCCTGAATCCCTAGGTAGGTTGCAGAGATGAATCCTCGGACTCGCGGGTTCGATTCGAATTGGACCTTCTCCAATCAGCGAATACGCATTTTTCTTTGCAAATTCTCTCCAGCCACGAGCCCCCCAACCCTTCACTGCCACTTGCTGAGATTGGAAGGTGCTGACCGCCCGCATGCCTTCCGGCAAATCGGATCTGGGCTGTTTTTGACTTTCCTGAGACTGGGCGATCCCACCACTTTGGTCCCGTTCACCGCATGAGTCAACCTCCAGCGACATTACCATCGGCGTGAGAGATGGTTGCCCCCGCTGATTCCGTCTTCTGCGGGGCGCGTAAGCACAAGATAACTTTAAACGTCGGAAAGGATCTGAAAAGTGATGGCTGGCTGAACCTTCTGCCTACTCTTTTCGGTCTCGAGTCTCGATCCTTTGCCAGCCACCAGGTTTGCAACACCAATTGAAACGTGGCCCGGGACTATTCCCCTACCTTTTTACACTGCTCCCCGGCTTGTGAATAGTAGAAATTGCCACGATATTTGAACTTTGAACTTGCCGAGTCTCACTAGTTAGCAATTAACTCGCGATCTAGCCGCCCTCCAACTGCAGCCAAGCCCCGCCACCCTCTCGGAGATAACCCCTACGACACCATCAACAACATCTTTGAACATCGCATCGCACATCGCGGAACGCCAAGTCGCCCTCCTTCGTCGGCCACGGGCTTGCAATGCCGCTTGGTGACAACTCCAACTCGATGCTAAGAGTATTCGAAACCGGAATCGCCCTCATTGGAATCTGCTCTGTCCCTGCACTCGGCAGCACGGTAATCCGCCTCAGGAGAAGAGATGCGAAGCAAGATGTGTACGAAGATGGGGATGGTAAGGCTACGCCCGAGTCGGTGAAAGCTTACTCGGGGAAGCTCCCGAAATCATTCGTTGTGGCTTCGGCGAGTGTTGGCCTCGCCATTTCCATTGCCCTCCTCATCATATCTCCACACGCCAACGACCGTCTGTTGATAGACAGTTTGAGTATCGGGTCCTGGGTAAGTTAAAATGCCGACTGTCTCGGTGTGTGTCTGTGTGTGGGTGTTACATTCGTACCAGCTAAAGTGCTAATGTTTGCCCCCAGGCTCTCCTCTTGTTCCAGGCCGTTGCTATAGCTTCGAGCAGGAGTTCGGTTCATGCCTACCGTCTCGGCATCTACACGTTCTTCTCCGCGATGGCCCTGGCTGGCATTTTCCTCGCCCAGGGCACCACAATTGGTGAATCGCTGTTGCATTCAGCACCCGTGGCTTTCGGCCTCCGTGTGGGTGAGCTGGCCTCGAGCATAACACTCGCTGTTTCGGCCCTTTGCATCCCTAGGAGACCCGACGTCTTCTTCGAGGGCGAGCTGGTGGACCGCATGTACACTGCGTCTGCCTTCCGCCGCTTTACATTTGGCTGGCCAAACAATCTTCTCAATCTTGCTGCGAAGAAGAAAGATCTGGACCTGGCTGACCTTACGCGGCCGGATCACTTCACCCGTGCCACTTGTGTATCTGCCGACTGGAAGGCAAAAAAGACCGAGGGTCAACGCCTTTGGATATCTGTCGTGTTAGCTCACAAGAAATCCTTGATTTTGCAGTGGTCGTTGACTCTTGTCGCCTCGGTCCTGAACTTTGGCCCCCAATGGGTCATTCTGCAGCTCCTGAGGTACCTCGAGGACCGCCAACCGGGCAGCCAACATGGAATCGACGCTTGGATGTGGGTTATCTGGCTCTGCATCGCCATCGTCACGCTGTCCTGGGTGGAAACTTACACCTGGTTCATGTCGTACTCCGAACTTCAAATCCCTGTCCGCGCTCAGCTCTCGGCCCTCATTTTTGAAAAGTCGATGCGTAAAAAAGACGTCAAGGGTGCCGACAAGCCCAAGAAGAAGGTCTCCGAGGATGAAGAGGCCGCATCGGACCGCTTGGCGACAGAGGACGAGGGAGATGACTCGGATGAGCTGAAGAACAGCAAGCAAAGCACGGTTAATTTAATCGGCGTCGACAGCAAGCGAGTATCCGACTTCTCCGCCTTCCAGAACCTCTTTCCGGGCAGTCTTTTCGAACTCATCGTCTCCCTCGTCTTCTTGCTCAACCTCCTAGGCTGGAAGCCACTCCTGGCTGGCTTTTCGGCCATGGTTGCCATCATGCCGGCCAACATCTACTTTTCCAAGCGATATTCCGCAGCGCAGGATCGCCTGATGAAAGTCAGGGACGAGAAGATGGAGGTCGTTAACGAAGCGCTACAGGGGATTCGCCAGATCAAGTTCTCCGCCTTGGAGCCCGAATGGGAGGCCAAGATTAGCACTGTCCGGGAGCGAGAACTCAGTGCCGTCTGGAGCGTCTTCATGAACGATACAATATTGATAGGCTGTTGGGTGACGAGCCCCATCCTTTTATCCGCCATTTCCCTGGCCGTCTACGCCATCGTCAATGGATCCCTAGTCCCGTCGGTGGCATTCGTCAGTCTAGGCGTCTTCAAGTCGCTCGAGATGACCCTGTCTGTCGTCCCAGAGCTGATGACCGATCTAATGGACGCTTGGGTCTCCATCCACCGTATCGAACAATACCTCAATTCCCCGGAGGTGGAAAAGATTTCAAAGGACTCGGACGAGGTGACTTTCGACGATGCTTCCATCGCCTGGCCGTCGGATGAGGACGTGGACGAAGCCGATAAATTCGTCCTCCGCAACATCAATGTCACTTTCCCCAAGGGCGAGTTGTCGGTCATCTCAGGGAAAACCGGTACAGGCAAGAGTCTGATGCTGGCGGCGATTTTGGGAGAAGTCGACCTCCTAGGCGGCACCCTATACGTGCCGAGAGCGCCACCTCTCTCGGAACGCCACGACGACAAGGCACACAAGGGCAACTGGATTATTCCGAATGCAATTGCGTACGTTGCGCAGATCCCTTGGATCGAGAACGCAAGCATCAAGGACAACATTCTGTTTGGGCTGCCCGACGACGACGAGCGGTATAATAAGACGGTCGAGGTCTGCGCGCTGAAGAAGGACCTAGAGATGCTCGACGATGGCGAAAACACCGAAATCGGCGCGAACGGTATCAATCTTAGCGGTGGCCAGAAATGGCGTATCACGCTTGCCAGAGCTGTCTACTCCCGCGCTGGAATCCTCGTCCTCGACGATATCTTCAGTGCTGTCGATGCACATGTTGGCCGCCACATCTTTGAGAAGTGCCTCAACGGAGAGCTGGCCGCCGGCAGGACGAGGATTCTGGTCACCCACCATGTAGCGCTCTGCGAACCCAAGACGAAATTTCTGATGGAACTCGGCGACGGCGGCGTTCTACATGCTGGTCTCCTCTCGGAGCTACGAGAGGAGGGCACATTACAGAAGATCAAAAGCCACGGGCAAACAGCGGATGAGATTGAGGTGGAGGAGTTGGCTACTGCAGTGAACTCTGACATGTCCTCAGTTGAGGAACCCGAACAAGAGGATGCGGATGGGAATAATTTGAAGAAGGTTCCGTCGAAGATCCCGTCCAAGGTGCCCGAGGCGCGCAAGTTTGTCGAGGAAGAGAAACGTGAGCAGGGCGCGGTCAAGAGTCGTATCTACTCGACCTATCTGAGGGATAGTGGCGGGTTTTTCTTTTGGGCGTTTGCGGTTTTGATTTTCATGAGTGTTCAGGGCTTCAACCTTGGTACGTTCCACTGCGGCTCAAGTTTATTCTCGTCCTCATACTGACCATGTCCAGGACGTTCATGGTGGCTCAAGCTTTGGACAAGCAACTACGAGGAGCTGGGCGTTCATCAACAGCGCATTCCCAACGTCTCCAGCGAATACGGATATTCATACACCCAGAGTCTGCGCCAGTCGGTCCACGTCATGTCTGCGCCTTCGGTCACGGTCCAGGGCAGTTTATTCTACTACTTGGGCATTTATGTCCTCTTGGCCGTCATATCTTCCATGATCGGTACCCTGAAGTTCCCGTACATATACCTTGGCTCTCTCCGCGCCAGCCGCAAGCTCTTCGCCAAGTTGAACTTCACCATCCTCCGTGCCCCCATCCGATGGCTAGACACAGTACCGGTCGGCCGCATACTGAACCGCTACACAGCCGATTTTAACACACTCGACTCGCAGCTGGCTAACTCGGTAAGCTTCGGTGCTGGTTCGTTCCTGGGTCTCATGGCAGTCGTCGTTTCCGGCTTCTTCGTGTCACCGTATATCGTCCTACTGGCCTTCTTCCTTCTTCTAATCTGCCTGTACTACGCCATCCGCTATCTTAACGCCGCACGGCCTGTCAAGCGGCTAGAGAGCACGTCGAAGTCGCCCGTCTTCGAGCAGTTCGGCTCTGCCCTCACCGGCGTCACCACCATCCGTGGCTTTGACAAGGCCCAGGTCTACGTGGAGCGCATGTATCGGAAGATTGACGACTACTCAACCGCGACATGGCACCTGTGGCTTTTCAACCGATGGATGGGCTGGCGGATGTCGCTTGTTGGCTCGTTCTTCTCAAGCTTTGTGGCGATTGTCATCCTGCTCACCCCCGACATGGACTCCGCCCTAGCCGGCTTTGCGCTCGCCTTCGCGCTCGACTTTACGAGCTCGGTTACGTGGACTATCCGACTCTATGCGAACCTTGAGCTGAACATGAACGCTGCGGAGCGAATCATCGAGGTAAGGCATGTCCGTTCTGGCCCGAAGGCACTCAAGGCTGACAGCGACGTAACAGTACACCGAGCTGCCGACCGAGGCACTCGACGGCAAAAGTGCTCCTGCTGCATGGCCTACCGAAGGTCGCATCGAAGTCAACGATCTCGTGGTTTCTTACGCACCCGACCTGCCGCCGGTCCTCAAAGGCCTCACTTTCAGCATCAACCGCAACGAGCGCATCGGCGTCGTCGGCCGCACCGGGGCGGGCAAATCGTCCCTCACACTCGCCCTGTTCCGTTTCCTCGAAGCCAAGTCAGGGAGCGTCTTCATCGACGGGCTCGACATCTCCAAGATCAAACTCCACGACCTCCGCTCGCGCCTGGCCATCATCCCGCAGGACCCCGTCCTCTTCTCCGGCACCGTCCGCTCCAACCTCGACCCCTTCGACCACCACAGCGACACCGAGCTCCGCGACAGCCTAGAACGCGTGCACCTCATCGGCGCCAGCACAGGCACGCACACCCCATCCGCCGCCACCACCCCGGTCGACTCCGCCTCCACCTCCACCGCCTCCCCGAAGAACACCAACCCCTTCGCGGACCTCTCATCAGCCATCTCCGAAGGCGGCCTCAACCTCTCGCAGGGCCAGCGGCAGCTGCTGTGCCTGGCGCGGGCCATCGTCGCGCGCCCGCGCGTCATGGTGCTGGACGAGGCGACGTCGGCCGTGGACATGCACACGGACGCGCTCATCCAGCGCAGCATCCGCGAGGAGTTCACCGACGCGACCCTGCTGGTGATTGCGCACCGCCTCAGCACCATTGCGGATTTCGACCGCGTTCTGGTACTGAGTGATGGGCGCGTGGCCGAGTTTGGCACGCCCCGGGAGTTGTGGGAGATGGGGGAGGGGGGCATGTTTAGGGGGATGTGTGAGGAGAGTGGGGAGAGGGAGAAGTTGAGGGCGATTGTGTTTGGGGAGAAGTGAGGGTGGGTTTCGTTTTTTTGTGTGGTTTCATTTGGGTAGGGATAGATAAATGAGGAGGTTTTTCCTTGCGGTGGTTTGGTTTCAGGGATTGATTATCGGTTGATTTCCAGCTGTTATGGCCATTGATTGATTTGGCCGGTGAGGGTCGGGTACTAACCGTTGATTTGAGCTGAGCAACCAACCTAGCCCCTGGCTAAAGTGTTGTTGTTGCAAGGACATGCGAATGGCCAATGGCTGAGATATACGAGTTGTCGTGACACTGCAATCTAACTTTAAAAAGGATGAGAAAAATAGGAAAATAACAAAATCCAAGCGGTGTCTTCCATTCTCTTCGTCCCACGATTGCAATTGAGATGCCCAGACCCCTGAAAATGATTTGCTTGTTTGCGTCCCATCCTTAGCCCCTACTTGGCCCGTTAGCCAAGGGATGTGGGTGAACAATTACACCACCAAGGCTAGAAACCACAGTCGTAATAGCAGGACAAGAAATATGGCATAGAAAGTTATAATCATGAAAAGAATGAGCTTGCTATTTATCCTAGATTGGACTTGGGGATGAATCTTCCAGGGGCACAGTCTAAGAACCCCCCAGTAGACAAACCCCTTCAAAAAGCTCTTGCTACAACTGTTACGAATATCATCTCATTCCAAGTCTCAGCTCGAACTTCCCAATAAAAAATAATTAAAGTCGTTCAGGAGCATGAGTATATCAGCCTCACCAGGGCGAACCTCACGACACAACCCAGACTCCACAACACAACACAGGCCACCACCACAAGACATAGATAAGCCGAGTTTATTTCAGCTGCATAGGTAGAACAAAGCTGCCACAGATTATAATCCTAACAAGCACCACAATGTACCACCCCATGTCCGTGTCCCGTCCTTAGGGGTATTTAGTTTTCCGATCCCCAACACTCCATTCCCCAGTCCACCCACCGTCCACCGTCCCTAACACCATGACGCCTTGCCTCCCATTGCTCACGACTCAGAGCTTTAAGACTCCATCTGACCTGAACGCGGAAGAGCAGATTATAGCAAGAAGCAAGAGCATGGGAAAAAAGAAGAAAAAAGAGGGGAAAAAAGAAGGAAAAAGAAGAAGAAGAAAAAGCAGCAAAAGAGTGTAGTAGAGCCAGCCGTCCCATCAAAGGCCGTCCGTCCATAGCTGCAAAGCGAGATCAGTCCACCCAAGATCAAGGTCTCTTCCCATCTCACATCTCAACCAACGCCCCAGCCCAGGCTACCCCAAATCTTGCCTGCCCACCCCCCGGCCGGCTCATCCATATGCCCAACCACACGACAATACAATAACAACAAACCAACCCCCATCCATACCCACCCACCAACCAACGAGGGCTATCCCCCGCCCCCCAACCAACCACCAAGAAACGCAACACAACAACAACACAACAGCAACAACCACCACCCACCTACCTACTTACCTCCCTAACCCCCCCTCCGGTTCACCATCACAGTCACAAAAACCGTCAGCGCCACCAACCACACACCCGAAAACACAATCCCCATCACCAAGGTATTCCGCCGCTGGCGACGGGTCAGCGAGCCCGTCTCGCCGCGAGTGTACCACGACAGGGCCGAATCAAACGTGCCGCGGTAGACGAGCAGGGCAAAGAAGGGCACGACACACAGGGAGCACATGGCGTAGTAGTAAGCCTGGCGGCGCTTGCGGGCCTCCCAGGAGAGGTAGGCGGCGGCGTCGGCGTCGGCGTCGGCATCGTCGATGGCGGTGGATGGGAAGAAGGCGAGGGGGTTGCCTCTGTCGCCGCCGCTGGCGCCGGCTGTGGCGCTGGATTCCATAACGGCGATGGTGTGCAGGTCGGCGGTCATGGTCTTGCGGGCGTTGCTCATGGTTAGGTTCACGGCGCGGGCGGTGTTGCGCTCGTCGCGTGCGATGAGGCAGGGCGGGGTCTCAAAGACGGATTGGTTTCCCGGTCCGAGGAAGGAGGCGTCGCTGCTAGTGACGGGCTCGAAGGGAGGCCGGAAAAAGCGCGAGAGGGCGGAGTGGCCTGGGACGAGCGGGGTTCCGCTTTTGTAGGAGGTTACGTTCGAGATGCCGCGGTCGTGGCCGAGAACAATGTGGTCTGTTGCTGGTCAGCATGGAAGATGGAAGAAGGGTAAATGGGAGAGACATGGTTGGGTTACATACCCTGCGAATAATCGGAGTAACCACGATGGGTCCTCGAGATACCCAGAATGCTAGCAGACGTGGGGCGGCTGGCATGAGCCGGAATGGGCTTGGTGATCTGAGGTGTGGGCGGCGTGGTTCTTTGGGTTGTCGCCCTCGACGCGTCTATGCTGCAGTTTTTCCGAGTTGTAACGGTGCAGTCGTCGCCGTTCTGGGCCCCAATTGCCTTGCGCCTAGCGGCCTCTTGCAAACTAATCAATGGAAACGTGAACAGAGTGGGCGATTCAAAGTCCCGGGGAGATTGGGCAGAAAGAGTCGCGTGTCGGTTCTTGATATGGGCTGCAGTGGGCTCCCTGGGGATAGGAGATGCCAGTAATTCCTTGCTGCTGTTTCGCACATGCTGCTGCCCAATTTCACCCCCAGTGACAGTAAGTCCAACGTGATTTTCCTGCCTCGGAATCGGTGTTATACCATTCTGATCTGGGCTGCTGGCAATTGGTGTGTTGTCCTCCTCCTCAGGCTGCTCTGAATAAGTCGACGAGAGCGACTCCAGCGACTCAAATCTGGATCTGGACCATTGTTGGCCGAAAGATTGATCCCGACGCTGGGCGAGCTTCCTCTCTTTGCGGGACCGAATCGAGGCACTGAGCTTTTCTACCAGAGCACTCCTAGCTGAGTTTGCGCTGCTTCCAGTCGTTGTATCGGTAAGCTTTCGGAGGGGATCATGAAGATAACCGTTGACGCGGTGGATGCGTGGCTTCGGGAGAAATACCGGGCGCCTGGTGTTGTTTAGGGACCGAGGGTAGTGGGTGTTGTGCATGTGCTCAGAATCAGGGTGCTGTAGAATCCGTTCCGTGGACGACGAAAAGGCATCAAACTGAGGCACATGGATGCTGCTGGTGTCGGAATAGTCTGCGATGCTGCTGCCTGTGACCTTCACCAACTGGCTTTCACTGTAGCCCGTAGAGGAAGCCAGAGCACGGTTGCTATCAAATTGGCCAAGGCTCGTGGCGACAGTCTCCCAATCGGCCCCATCGCTCACGAGGGTGTTGATATCCTTCCTCCGGCGGCCACCACCTAGCCCCTCGATATAGTCACTTAGACCAAAGGTCCGCTGCACTGGCGAGTTTGGGGGGGCGGGTGGAGACCGAACAGAGATTTTGACCTCGCGAGGGAGATCTCCATCTTCCCAGTCATAGTCGATAGTAGCTGCGTGGTAGGATTGCAACCCGTTGACAAAGGGATTGTTGGTGCTTTGAGCGACACGGGGAGTGTCGGGTTCCAGTGACAGGGAGTCTTGAAAGATACCACTGGCCGATGCTGTACTGTCGGCGCTCACAAAACGAAGTGCAGCACTGACTTCTCTCTCTCTGGAAGGCTGCAGAAAGACAGTGAAGGAACCACGGTCATACTTGAACGGGTCTTCGTCAGAGTCGGTAGACACCCCGTTGGACATCCCACCATGGCTAACATCACCACCCTGGCAGATTCGATCTTTCAGACTCTCATCGTCAGACTGAGGAGGCAGCCTGCCGTAAATAACAAAGTCTGAGTTTGCGGGGCCGGTGTTAGAGTGAACAAGCTCTGAACTATTGCGAGTCTCCAAGTTGGGCAAACTCTCTTCGAAGCTGCTTGCCTGGCTAAGATTGGCAGGCGCTGACATAGGCTCTTGGAGAGTGGAAACAGAGTGAATGGAGAGCGCGGGGCGGCTGAAATTCTGCACAACGTTGAAAGAGCCCCTTGGCAAATTTGTTGTGTGCCCGCGCGTGCGGGACGGCTCGGGTAGAGGCAACTGGTGAGATTCATCACCTAGGTGGTACCTTTGCCAGAGAGTGTTGCCTGGGCCAATGCTGGTTTTTACTCGCCCAATGTCGGGTGAGCGGGGATGTGAGCTCGTAAGATCTGCCTCCGAATGGTAGAGGTGAGTGTTGCTCGGAGCCGCACCATCAACAGCCCTGGATCCTTGAGTCGCTGTTGGGGATGTATGGTACTGATCGTAGATATCCCCCACAGAATTGCTGGTCTCAGAAGGCTCTAGATTGCCTCTGTTCCCTTCTCTGGCGCCATTGTTCAAGTTGTTTCCCACGGAATTGCCAGCACTGGATGATTCGAAGCCAGAAACAATTGGAGAGGGTTCACTCGGTGTATTGGCCCATCCAGTGCTTCTGGACGTGGAGGGCCTGGAAGCTGTCAAGCATCTCTGGCGCTCTGGGAGGCTGGGTTTGGCAGGTTCCATGTGCCGGACACTCGATAGGCTCTGGGCCGAGTTGGTTGGGCCAGAAACATTGACCACAAAATAGTCGGTGGATGAGGAAGACCGTAGTGAGCTGTCAGAGATGTGGTTCCCAGTCGTTGGGCGTGATGCCAGCCGAGAAGTGATGGCTTGGTGCGCCTCTCCTAGATTGGGGAACAGAGTGCCCTTTGGCATGATGGAACGCGGGGTATTGTATCTGAAGGGAGGTGCCATGGTCATCGAGTCCTCGATCGGGTTCCAATATTCTGAGTACTCATCCCCCTGCCCATCGCTCTTGCCTGGCATGGTCACGATGCTTTCTACAGTTAAAGTTAGCGCCAATTTTGTCTGGATCTGGTGTGGTTGTGGCCAGTTTCCTACCTCTCGGAGTCTCTTTCACAAATTAACTGAACTTCGCAAATGGGTTTCAAAGGAAACAGTGATGACACTCTGATGCAGATGCTCGATGGCTTTTTCTTGATTGGTAGAAGTCGAGAGGTAGAGAATGGGTGTGATGACTGCGCCGTTGATGGACTCAAAAGCGCGGATCGGGAACGAGGAAATATCGTGAATTGGTTTGCAGTCGTGAGAATTGCGAGAATCAAGAGTTGGAGTGGAAAAGACAGCCATTGACTACCCAGATAAAATGTAATTGAGACGCGATGTCAACCAGTCAAATGGCGATGCTAGAAAAGAACAGGCCAGAAAGTGGTAAAGGAAGGAGTGAGAGAAATGGCGGGGTATAAAGGGTGTTGAGAAAGGGGGAGAGAAAGTGAGGGTAGCCGCACTTGAAGGGGGCAGGAAGACTGGGGAGGTTTTGGCCAGTGGTGTGGTGTTGTGTGATTTTGCTCCTATTTCTGTGCACATTTCGTATTGGGAAGCTTGCTCTTACAAAGTTCAGAGGCTCCAGCACTAGCCCACCTTACCTGCCTTGATTTTTGATGCCCACCTAGGGCCTTGATCCGAAGTTTAACAGCGAGGGACTGCCAGAACTGATGATATCATCGGAAATGAGAACCACAAGAGCCTAGTCTGCAAAGGTCTTCATCGTAAAAGAAACTTCAATCTGTCTAGTAACCTTTGGAGAGTAGAGTAGAACCTTTCAGAAATGAGGATGGGGGATTGGGGAGAGAGGAGATAAAAAGCCTTGGTTAAGTGATGAACTAGGTAATATTGTTGTCTTCTTCACAGCAAGGACTTAACTTTTGCCCGACGGAATCGAGCCATGCATTAGCTAAGTGGAAAACCAAGTATTGTAAGCCAGCCAGCATTCCCATGATAAGGATGTCTGGCAGACACATATTCTCTTCAGCACAACAGCCCGAATGTTAACCACCATGGAGCGATCCTCCTCGAGTTCGTTGTGTTCGCCCTAGCCGGTTGCATTAGAGATGATATTTTAACATATTGAAGCTTTATAAAGTCAAAATTGATTATATCATTGTCTATCTGAGGGGCTTTAACCAAGTTTGGTGCCGTGACAATGTGTGAGTGTCTAAGTGGGTGTTGACGTTGAAAGAAGACTTATCAATAATTACAACTTGCCAAAAGCGGTTAGGTAAATGCCCCAAGCAAATGCGCCTTTTATCTTGCCCTGAAAAGAAAGGTCCCCACCCCCGCCCTGAGCTGCTGACTTTGCATCCGCCGATCATCGCGATTTCCCCCTTCAAACCCCTTCGAGACCCCCCACCATGTTTCCCATGCATTGGTTCCATTGCCCATGAGTGCCATTCGAGTCCTGTGGAACCTGGGTCGAGCCTGGGCCTTCCCGTGATTACCGTCCGCACACGTGAAGTTCGCTTGGGAGCAACATTCCTGAACCTTCCAAATGTTGAGCCCCGCTGCTATCTCATGGAGAGGTGCCTAGACTGGGCTAACTGACGCGCATTTTCTCCGATCGTTTTACCAAGCAAGAAGCAAGGTACAGACAGATCTTATACAATAGCATTAACTCTGCATCTCCCATGTTATCCTTGCTATCGACGGCTTGATCCCAACATCCAGCAACGGCTCCTCAACTGCTCCTTGAGAAGCTCAACACCATGGACGCTCTCCCTGGGGAAGTCCTCCTCATCATCTTGTCGTGTAAGTGATAAATAACTACACGCTAGACGGAGAGCGTCGAAAACAGCCAGTGCTAATCGACCAAACCGCGCCCTGCTACACCTGTCACAGTCCTCGAGCCCCCGGAAATCACCAATCTCCAGCTCGTCTCCCGCGGCTTCTGCAGCCTCGCCCGCGACAATGGCTTCTGGCGCGCCCGCTGCCTCGAAGAATCCTCCTTCCTAGAGACCCTCGACCGCCGCCGCCGTTACCACGGCCTCCCCGACGCAACCGCCTCACAAATCACCACCATCCCAACACCCCGCAGCAACGGGGAGCTCAGCCTCGGCCTCAGCACGGCCCCAACCAGCCACAACACCACCAACCCGAACAACGACGCGAGCAGCAGCGGCAACGCCACCAACCAACGACCCCCCCCATCGCAATACACCAACACGACAACCGCCTCCTCGGTTCTCAGCCGCGGCGAGCTGCGCGGGCGCGAGCGCGAGCGCGTGCGCATCCTAGCCAACTGGGACCCCTGCTTCCCCTCGGAGCGCGTCTCGTGGTACGACGAGTACATCCAGCGGCAGGGCCCCGTCGCAGTCAACTGGATGCAGTGCGCCTATGATTACGACTACGACTACGACTACGGCGGCTACGACTACGACGCTGACGTCGGCGATGGTGATGGTGATGGTGGCAAGAGCAAGGGGAGACGGCGCGTGTCCGCCGCCGACCATGTCGAGGCCCGCGGCGTGGCGCTGTACTACCCCGATGGGGAGGATGCGGAGACGGTGCTGGCTGTGTCGCCGCTGGATGATGGGGGCGTGGCGATGTGGGATGTGGCGGGGACGAGGGGGAGGAGGGGGGCGATCGTGGCGCGGAGCAGGCCCGGGATATTGTTTATTGATGGGCCCGGGGCGGATAATAGTAGGAGGTCGAAGAGGATCGATTCTGGGGTGACCGAGTGCGTCAGCGTGGATAGTCGACAGCATCGGGCCTTCTTTGCTGTGCAGAGTCGTAAGTGTGATGGTGATGGCAGGGTGGGATGAGTTGCGAGATAAGCTGACGATGGCTCGACAGATCTCATCGAGGTTGATTTGCGGCGCCTGTCCGTGATCGAGTGCGAATCGTTTCCTTGGTCCATCACAGCATTATCCGCGGCGAGCCCGACTGTTCCGCTCACCGTTGGAACTAGCCTTGGGATACATTTGCACGACTACCGGGCGCGCAAACCACCACGGAACGACCATAATGAGACAGTCGACGGGTTCGAGAAGATGGGCGCCAAAGAGTTCTACGAGCGCAGCCTGCGACAGATATTCAGCGATGACCCGTTACCCCTTTATGCGTCGCTATCCCAACCGGGGCCGCTAAGCATTCTCCATCTCCAGCAGCCGGGTCAGGAAGCAGAGCTATCAGATGACATCTACGTGGCGGGCCGGTTCTCCAACATCCTGCACTACGACCGGCGCAAGTTCCCGTCCATCCGGGGCTCGATCCATTCGGGCGGCCGGCTCTGCAGTATGACCTCCCTGCCTTACCCGTTCTCGACCCTCGACAGCGAGCTGCGACGCATGGGTGAGCTTTCACTGGAGCAGGTGGAAGCCTCCAAGAGCGTCACCGGCGGCAGGACGTTGATCGCTTGCGGCGAGTACAACACCAAGGGGTCGCTCGAGCTCTACGGCTTGGCACCCGAGGCACTGCGAACGAGCGCGGCGGGTGGCTTGCAAAACTCAACCTTCAGGAACCGCCAGACATCCTCCCATTCCAAGCTGATGTCGGTCGTGAATCACGGCACGCGCATCGCCTTTTCGGACGGGTCCGGCTACATCAGGTGGTTCGAGCGGGACGGCTTCACCGAGGTGCGCCGCTGCAAGATAGGCCACAGCGAGCGCAGCCACACCACCTCCATTTTCGAGTCGATGCCCGGGTCCGACGACATAGCGAGGAAGCTGCTCCCGACGCGGCCAGCCGGCGAGGTTGGCCACGACGACAGCGAGAATGGGAGCGGGCGGAGCAACAACAACGACCTGCTCTTTTGGACGGGCGAGAAGCTGGGGCTGGTCACCTTCACTGCGCGCCCTGGTTTCAGGTCCGAGGACTTTGAGGAGCGGGACGAGGATGCGCCCGACGCCGAGGCGCTGGCCGCTCAGAGCGACTACAGCGATATGATGCGGAGGGCGCTCGAACGGCAGGCGGACGACGTCAGGTTCGTGAGGAATCTGGGGCTCGGCAGCGGGATCCGGCCCACGTACGAATGAACGGACCTGAGGCTCTGGCTGGGGCGGTTCGAAGAGGAACCGAGGAGGAGAGGCTGCTGCTATTCGTATGGAGCCACGGACCCTGACGATCGGCAGTCTGCTGGGTGGACAAGACGGCGACGTCAGCGCCGTTTGGGTGGGCGAAGGTGCACGTGTCCGACGCGGAATGATCGGAGGCCTGCCAGCGTCAAATATTCGGTCCCATGGGGCCAAGCTACAGCGAATGACATATATACCCCCTCCTGCTCTTCCCCGTCTTATTGTTTGTGTGTATGCATGAGATTGTTGTCAACGGGCTAGGGTAGCTTCGGCTACGACATGAGGTGCACATGCATTCCCACCGGACATGCTAGCTCTGGGAAGCGGAACTGGTCCTCCTTGTCCTCCCTGCATGGCATGCTGGGCCTCTCGACGTTTGTACATACCCACATACGAGCGCGTGGAGGACGTCGTCGTGGTCAGCCTCGGCGCAATCGGTGGGATGGGAGATGGCTGGCCTGTGGAACCACGGAGCAACGCCGAAAATTCAAGGCGGCCAATCCCCTCGGGGGCCGGGGGCCTGTAAACCAATCGCCATGGTGCTGGAACGTCGTATCCGCTTTTCTGCATTGTCCCCCCAGGTTTCGTAGCTGTTGATTGCTTCGGGAGGAGGTGCTGAAGCCTCGTTCTGCCGCTCGCACGCTTTTGAGTATGCGCAGTGGCGCGCATGAAGGGTTGAACACTTGCACGGCTTGCTCTTGGCTATTTTTTGCATTTCCGATTTCTGCCATTCATTCTCCAGTTTGTGGTGTTTTGGGTTGTCAAGGCTCTTGTTGATGTTTTGCTCTGCCAAGACCATCACTGTAGGGCCCCGCACGGGCATTTGCCAGTCACCCACTGCGCCCGCCAGTTGTGTCTCTGATCTTGATCAGCCTGGAAGTTCCTGGCAACACGCTTTTTCTCTCGTCCACCCATCACACACGCCAGACCCCATCCACTGCTGCTGCACCAAACTGCTGCATATGCGGGTGCACCATCCCCTCCCCCCAGATTCCCGCAGCCAGCACACCGCTGACTACCAAGTACGCCGAGTCGGACACGCTCTGCCCCCTTTTTTTGTTTCCCATCGTCTTGGCGATGTCCTTTCTAGGGAGTCCCGAACTTCGCAGACCGCCAGTTCGGCTGGGGGAATGAATCCCGTCTCCCGTGGTTCCAGGCATGCCTGGGTCGGGGTGATACCCCCCCTCCAGCGGGCACCCCAAACAGCACACGGCACGAGCCAATATTTATTTACTGGGGGCCGGGGGAGAGTCGATGAACCCGTCAAGCGCCAACCCTGTCGAACATTGTTTCTGAGGGCCCTTTGGCGCCTCATTCCTCCATTGGGCTTTGCGTGTCAGGGCACATTGGCACACGGGCACGCTGGTCACTGGGGGAAGAGAAAAAAGGGGGGCTAGTCGCAACAAACGGGTTCCAGTGGCCAACTGAAGACGGGATTTGCGCCTGGACTCCTGCTTGGACTAGCAGCAGTGAGGCGAATTCAACCTTTATCTGGGTCCCTCTAACACAAACGCCTCCGGTCCGGGTCGCATTCCCGGGGTCTGGATCTACTTGTATCACTTTTTACTGTTCCCGTTCCCCGATCTAAGTACAACGTTGCCGGTTGCCGTCTTGGTGCTTCCTGTCTGCTGTCTCTTCTTCCTAAATCGCACACTTGCATCCCTCCCCCCCTCCATCACCTGCTCTTCTCACCCATTCTCTCTTCTGAAGGAGGGTGTCACTGTTTCTGACCCCCCTGTGTCGATGCCGTGTGTTTGATACCTACTTGCTTTGTCTTCTTGGGCCATAACTCTACTCCGACTCCTTGGCCCTGGCATGAGAGAGACTCTCCGTGCCGCGTTTGTAACACAACCTCATCCCACGCCTTGCCTCGAGCATGTCCGATGGCACTACCGGTGGTAGGCGGGGACGATTACCCGCCGTTCCGTCCTTCAGGCGGTCCCTACTACCCGGCCAAGCGGCGCATCATAGATGCCGTCGACGATGACCATTTTCGGCACAAACGGCCGAAATACGTTCAACAAGCTCAGTTTGCCGGCCCCGTCGCCTTCAAAGCGGTTGAGCCGCTACTCAACAACTACCCGCCGATTCACCACCCCCATCCACAGCATCCGCATCATCATCATCATCACCATCCGTGCCACTCACCTCACCGCTACCCTTCTCCGCGACCTCATGTTTCCTCACCCGAGCCAGCCAGCACCACTGCCGCCCCGGCGATGGAACGCACCGCCTCCGGCCACTCCCTCCGCCCGGACGCAACCGAGGGGTGGGCGTTGACGGAGCTCCTCGAGGACCGGGAGGCCGCCCAGCGCGTGCGCGACCACCTCGCCAGTTTCCGCCGGCGCAACCCAGACTCCAAGCACGAGCGCATTCTCCGGAGTATCATCAACCCGCGGCCCCGGCGCCACCCCCACCCAGGCGGCCACTCCCACCGCCACTCCCACTCCCGCTCTCACTCTCATTCCCGCTCTCACTCCCACTCCCGCTCCCACTCCCACTCCCGCAACCCCCATCACCATCTCCCCGACCACTGTACCAACACCAACAACATCGACAACTTCACCACCCCCACCCCAACCGGCAACACCACCACCCGCCACCACCACTCCCAACCCCGAAGACGCCGAATACCCCCTCGACAACGACGCGCTCGAATCCATCTTCTCCGCCGCCAACGAGATCTTCTTCAACGGCCGCCTCAGCCAGCGCGTCGCCTGGGACTGGTCGCACGCCTCCTCCTCGCGCTACGACAGCCGCGTGATCGGGACGACGGCGCTGCGGCGCGCGGCGGCCCACACGCGCGGCTTCGAGACCCTGATCGTGCTGTCGGCGTCGATTTTGCGCGGGGGGGGTTTTAGTCGGAGGCTGTTGATCAGTACGTTTTTGCATGAGCTGATTCATTGTTATTTGTTTATTTGTTGTGGGTTTCGGGCGCGGTGGGAAGGGGGGCATACCGAGGGGTTTCGCGATATTGCGGCTGTGATTGATGAGTGGGTGGGGGAAGAGGGATGTGTGATGAGAGGGGGAGAAGGGGGTTGAATGGGGATCGGGATCGGGATGGGGGCAGGTTTGGGGTGCGCCGCCGAATGTTTATCCGTGTTCGGGTATGGCTGCGGAGCAGGAGGAGTATGCTGCTGCTCCTGGCTCTGCGGCTGCTGTCGCTGCGTTCCCCGGTCCCGTAACGCAGGAAATGGTGTATTTTGGGACGGGCGGCGGCGGCAATGTGCCGGTTGCTGGCCAGGAGGCGGTTCATTACGCCCGGGGCTCGCCCAGCCCCAGGCCCGGCACCCCTACCCGCGAGATGGTGTACTTTGGGCGTGGCTCCCCGAGCCCGAGGCCTGGTACGCCCACCCGGGAGATGGTGCAGTACGGCGACCGCGGTTTGAGCAGCAGCGGCAGCAACGGAAGCAACGTGTGGTGGAGGCATCGCCGAGCAGGTCGGCCCCTTTACGTTTACAGTGGCGACAAGCCTTCGCCGTCCTACGTTTATACGCATCCGACGGGGCAGAGGCCATGAGGCTTTTGCAAGCGTTGGTTCTCCGCCCCCCTTTTTCACATACCGAGCATGGTTAGATTTGCTACACTTGTTTGTAACGATACTGCATGGATGGAGGAAGCCTGGTTGCATGGCGACGGCGTACAAAGATAGGCGGCAAAATGTATTGGTAGTTAGCGTGTACCTGGAAGGGTTTTGTGCCTTGGCTTGTGTTTGATTCTCTTTCTGGTGTGATGGTTGTCCATAATGAGACTCGGTAGATGAGCCGTTCGCTTGAGACGCTGGGCCGTGCATGGTTGGAGTCAAGTCGGGGGTCTTGGCCATCTGTTAGCTATCTGGTACATATGTCTCAACAGATGTCCTTGTTTTCAGTAGAATATCACACCTGGTCCAAAAGGTGTAACTTAATGCGCGAGTGCTCCAACCCCCATGTATATATTCTGCTGAGTACGGCCCGCGAGTCAACCACTCCTCGCACTTCTCGCACTTCTCGCACTTCTGGCAAGTTTACCACGTCATACAGCTCTAAACACTGTCCCCAAACAATGACCCAACACACTATTTCCGCCTGCCCATTACATCCTTTACGCCCGACCACCCATCATCCAATATCATATCCATCATAACTTAATCATCCTCTTCCCCACCTTCACCGCGACTGCCAACCGCAGCAGCAGCGCCCTACGCCTCACCCATAACCGCACCCCCAGCCCCGCCACCACCCCCATCACCACTATACACAGCATCACGACACAGCAGCGCAACCTTCTTGAAAAACCTCCTCCACTCCAACGGATCCCCCTTAACCTTCACAAACCTTACCTCCAACACCTCGACCCCCTCCTCCACCCCCACCAACCGAATCCGATCCACCAACACATCGCCATGCAGCCCCTGGCGGCGCTCATCCAGCGTCCGCACCTTCAACGTCGCGACATGCTCGGCCGCCGGATCAGCCGCAACGGCCGGGGTGCGCAGCGGCAGCGGGACGTTGAGCTGGTGGAGGGCATCGTGCAGCATCTGCACGAGCAGGGTGGGCGGCACGTGCGAGAAGAAGCGCGTGAGCGAGTACGCCGGCACGATGTCGCGGAACTGGCGCGCGTGCTGGGTTAGTGAGAGAGGCACGCCAGGTGTTTGCGAGAACTGGCTCATGGTGGGTTCGTCGGCGAGGGCGGCGAGTGCTGCGTTGAAGCTGCTGGTCGGGGGTTGTCTGCTGCCTGCTGCTGCGGCGGCGGCGGCTACTGTTGATGCAGCGAGGGCGGAGCTCGCGAGGGGTTGGGTGGAGGAGATGGCGTAAGTGCCGAGGGTGCGGGGGGGTGGGTGCTCGAAGTCGAAGAGGGCGTCGGTGATGGGGGTTTCGGGTTGGGTGGCGGGGAGTCGCGAGGACCAATCCTGGCTGTGGCGGGTGTCGATTTCCATGAGTTCGGGCTGGGACTGGCGCTGAGATGGCGTGGGTTCGGCGCTGAGATCGATACGCAGGGCGGCGAGCATCTGTGCTGCGAGGGCGATGGGGTCCGAGACCTTGCCATCGGCGGTCAGGAGGGGGTTGCGGCGGGTGTACCACGGGTGCTGGCGGATCTGGGCAAACGAAAACCGCTTGTGCGGCTCGATGTTCATCATGCCGCGGAGCAATGACAAGGCGTCACCGGGCAGTCTCCCCCATAGCGCATCGGTGCTGCGACCGTTGTTCTTGACATATTCTTGGAATTCCCAACTCCCCGCAGTCGGCTCATCCCAGGGTGTGTTGCCGACCAAAAGGACAAACAAGATGACGCCGCATGACCAAATATCAACCAAATCGGCCGAGTACTTCGCTCCGTCTGCTGACTTCTTCTCCTGCCTTGCACAGTCCAAAACTTCAGGGGCGATGTAGGGTGGGCTCCCGCACATGGTGGTGCTCTGCTTCCTCGCGCCCTTGTACTCGAACATGGTCGCCATGCCGAAGTCGGCGAGTTTTAGATTGCCACTTTCCGAGAGGAGGATGTTTTCGGGTTTGAGATCGCGGTGGGCCACCCCCTTCGAATGCATGAAGCTGACACCACCGATCAGTTGCAGAAAGTAGAGGTGGGCAATATCCTCCTGAACGCCAACATCTGCTTCAATCTTGTCGAAGAGGTCGCCTCCCTCGGCAAATTCCATGGCGATCCATCTCCATACTGCGTCCTCACCCGTGGCGAACCATTCAATGATGTTTGGGTGTTGGCCGATGTGCGAGTGTAACGACACCTCCATCGCAATCTGTTTAGCCGAGATGCGGCCTTGCCTGACCGCATAACCCTTGTGTATGAGCTTGACAGCAAATACCGGTGATGGCGCATCCAACGGTATTGCCTTCTTGATGCTGAAGAGTTGTTAGTGTGGGGTCGCTTAGGCGAGCGTGTACGTGTGTAAGTGTGTAAGTGGGTGATGGGCAAGGGGGGGCATGGGTTGGTCTCACGATGCATATGCGCCCCTCCCAATCGTCTTGGAGACGATTCGAAATGGGAGATCGTTTGGGAGAGGGTCTAGCTGCGACTGTTGCATTTTTTTTTTTTTAGAATGTTTAGTTGATATTCTCAAAAACGTGGCATGTGGTGTGCCTTTTTGGACTTCAAGAACGAGAAATAAAACCTCGGAGCATTCCGCAAAGTTAACAATAAAATGCGGCAGTTTGATGACAAACAACCTAGGTATCTGGAACAGAGTGTGGAATTGAAAAATACAGCAAGGCTCAGCGAGCTTGTTGCCTTGCAGCAGGAACGGGTGGCAGAGAGCACTCACCATTGTGTCCATTGACGCGTTTGGGTCGTGATACGCGTGCTGGTCGCGTTAAGTGACTTGCGATTGATTGAAATGATCATGGCAATTGGAGACAGGGCAATTGTTTTTGTCTGAGTGCTGCAGGCAACAACGCTGGCTCATTGGGTGCTAAGCTGCATTAGGACCCCTGGAATCTGGGTTTGGCCAAGCCCCGCCTAGCTGGTTGCTAGAGGGGCTTTATTCGTCACCTAGGGGTTGGTGGGGGCGATGACCCGGGCTTGCTGTGTAAACATTCGTGCCCGAGTTTGGAAGTGTTCTTTGACCCGTTGCCGCCTTCCTGTCGCAACACCCCAACCATCGCTCCAGGCCCAACTGAGGTTCAAATTCCGTCCTTTTGAAAAGCCAGACAGGCGCTTGACGTCTTCTTGTTACAGGTACGGAGCTCAACACATTTCCTACAACCCAACCCATCTTCATTCGCTCGTCGCCACCCTAGATATTGACCTAGGTACTTTCCTCTGTAGTATTGGTCACAGGCATTCCGCTTTACACTCTTCTTTTACACTCGCCTTTGACCTTCTTGGTTGTTACACCCTCGATTGGCCGTTGAACCAATCCCACCATGTCTTTTGCTGAAGAAAGTCAAAACTCGGCCCCTGGCAACGTCCCAGCCAACAAGCTCGGCGGCGCAAGGAAGGGTGCTGAGCCGGGCCAGAATGCTGCTAAAAGGTGAGTGTCCTGTGCCCTCCAACGAGGTTGGAATAGCCATTGGAAACTAGACATATGGCTGATATGGAACCTGGCAGGTTACAAACGGAGCTTATGCAGCTCATGACCTCTCCCGCGCCGGGGGTGTCCGCTTTCCCTTCCGCCGATGGCAACCTGCTCTCCTGGAGGGCGACCATCGAGGGCCCCGAAGACACGCCCTACTCGGGGCTCACGTTCAAGCTCAGCTTCGAATTCCCTTCCAACTATCCGTATGCGCCGCCCACCGTGCTCTTCCGGACGCCCATCTACCACCCCAATGTCGACTTCTCCGGACGCATCTGTCTCGACATCCTGAAGGACAAGTGGACCGCAGCATACAACATCCAGACCGTGCTGCTGAGTCTGCAATCTCTGCTGGGAGAGCCAAACAAGTATGGGATCCGCGATTTGTGATTATTTGGGGAGGCTGGCTAACCCTTTCAAAGTGCATCTCCCCTGAACGGCGAGGCTGCTGAGCTCTGGGACAACGACCCAACTCTCTTCAAGACCAAGGTTATGGACCGTCACAAGGACGTTGAGGACGATTGAACAAAACGCGTTGGGTCATGGGCTTGGCTTGGCTTTCCTAGGTCGTCATGGAGAACGGAGTTTGTTTTGAGGCTTTGCACCCCGCGGAGTATTGGTGCCTGGTTAGGATTGCATTGCCAGGGTGGATTGGTTCATGGATATCCCTTCATTTCTGCTAGTGGCGCAGGCTGAAGTACATCAAGCATTGGCTTTGAATGGACGTTTGGTTGTCCATGAGCGTATCACTCTGAAATAATCCCAGCGCATCACTCTGATAAATCCCCTGTCCAACCCCAACCCCTCGCACCTTGACCGTTCGTCGAAATGGCAGTGGTATCGAAGGTGCCGTGCTTTACGAACCCATGTATTCGTAGTAGGAAGCTAGATGCCATGCGAAAACTCCGGAAAAGCCCAATGCCGCCATGAAACCGAACCACGGCCCAATCTCGATTTTCCCATTTTTGTTGTCTATCCTTACTCCTCAACGACAACGGTGTGCAGACCCTTGGGGTTCTTGACGTTGACGGCCTGCACGTAGCTGTAGAGCTTCTCCTTGGCGCCTTCCTCGTCGTTACGCCTCCGGGAGATGCGGATGCGGAGCCTGTAGCCAACACCCTTGACACCCTGCTCCCAGACCTTCTTGTTCAGCTGGGGATCCACGCGGACGTCCGAGGTGCCCTATATGCCAATGTTGTCAGCCCCTACCCTCGTTTACCATCCGAAGCTTTTCGAAGCTTCAACAGGCTCGACCCGTGGACTGGAGTTGCCGCGCGGGTGTTTGCGGTCGGACATACCATCGCCTTGGTAGCGAACGCCTTGATCTCCTTGATAGCACGCGGGGCCCTCTTCTTGAAGCTGACACCGTGGAGCTACACCAAACGTCAGCGGTTTCCTCGGAATCCTGGCCGGTCTGTTGCATGACATACGCGCTTGTGCATGTGGATGGTGTACTCGCGGGCGACCACGTCGGCGATAGCCGAGCGCTGGGCCTTGCCTTGGGGCTTCTGGGACGACATTCTAGTAGCGACTCGTTAGCGGGTGTTGTTAAGTCGATGTTTCGAATCGGAAAAATGTGCTGAATCGATTCGAGAGAATTTCGGGAGAGGGGCTATAGGCGCAATTACGTACTTCGGCGACGTCTGGATCTCGTGCACTCGGAGTCGGTTGTGGTGTCGAGGAGTCGTCGATTTGGCTGGGGTTCGATAAACCTACCTCTGGCAATTTTGCACTTGTTTTTCCGCGAATTCTGCGAAAGTGCGGGCCTGCCCGGGCTCGGAGTCCTCGCGTAATTGCCCTAAAGTGGAATGGCGGCCTGAATTGGAAGCCCCGCTAGGGAGGTGTGGCTTAGCAGCCGTGGCTGCTTTTGGCACTGGCCGGCAGCCGGCTGAGATTTGCTGACAGCTGCCACCCTACGAGGCATGGACAAAGTGCCTGCATTGAAACTTGCTTGCAATGAACGGTCGAGGTCCACCCAATTTTAGCTGGAAGGTGCAGACCCACTCATGCTCATCAGACATTCCCAAGGTTCGCATTGCAGGGGCAACCGCGCCTCTTCGAGTGTTTGTTCAAGCTGCTGGAAGACGAAACCAACTCAATTGTCACCGCTGCTCACCACAATTACTTCAATCGGTGCGCTGCGCGCACACTCACATTCTTTTCCTACAGAACCAGCCGAAACCCCCCAATCTCTCGACCCCGCAAACCACCACACCAGCTTCGTTTAACAATATAACTTCGTGGAACACCAGTGCAAATTGCTGTGACCGCAAGCACCCGATTGCTGTTACGGTCCATCAAGAGAGATTTTGGAGGCATATTTCGACGCGACTCGACTTTCCGATCGTTACCTTTCTCTTCTTTTTACCAACCAATTTATCGTCACACGGTCCCCGACTTCAGTCAAGATGGCAGATCATGCTGTCGCGAGCCCTTCCCCCCAGCCCGACTACACTCGGAACCGGCTGCCGACACTCTTTGAAGTGCTCAGTCGGCGGACACTCCCTCCTGTTGATCTGTTCTCCTTCTACATTTACATGAGGGATCAGCAGCGTTCAGTCGACTATCTCGATTTTTGGTCGGTCCGATTGATTCGATATGTAATGATGGTCAAATGGCTAACTCCAGTTCAGGCTCGATGTTGCACAACACATGTCGCTCTGCCGCCACTATGTGCGAGAGCTTCGTCGGTCTGTGCTCGTGAGCACACCCGATCCAGAAAGGGCCTCTAAGAGATCGTCGGGTATTCTAGAAGGTCTCGGAGACCTAAGCCATGCAGTTGCGGGACCATCGATGTACGCGACAGAGAAGGAGAAGGACCAAGATGCCCAGATGTCGGCTTTCCTTCGGGAAGACAGGGACCATCATGATTCTCCAGTCAGCAGCGATGCCAGGCAGAACCGCCCGAGCACGAATATTAGCACTCCCAGGGAGTTCAACACCGACTCGAACTCTCCCCCCCACGCAGTTGCCCGACAGGACGTTAGGGCTTCTGCTGAGAAGATTCTCTACACCTTTCTTCTCCCGGGTGCCGAACGCGAAATCACCCTACCAGGTTCAATTACTCAGGATGTCACCCCAGCTATCGAGGAACTCGGCAGAGATGACCCAGAGGTGTTTGACGTGGCTAAGGACTATGTCTTCCAGGCGATGGAGCGGGATGCTTTCCCTGGGTTTCTCAGAATGAAGGCTCTCGGGAACCTCATCCCCCCCAACATTGATTATGCGCCTTATTCTGGGGCTTGTGTCCATGTTTGGCGGGTTCTGGGCTGCCTTCATCTTGATTTTCCTCAATGAGTCTCGGATGGTGAGGCTTTGGGTATGTGACAATTATTTTATTCTTGGCAGTTCATGGCTAACTTTCACCCAGCTCATCTTGCCTTTCACAATTGGTGTCTACTGCCTTGCTTCCTACCAATATTCCCTCGACCCGGTTCTTGCCCTTGTTGGCTTCAGCGAGTACACCCCTTTCAACTTTGCCCGGGTGCGAGAGCCTTACGTCCGAAAACTCCTTGCACGGCGGGCGATCATGGTCCTTGCCGTGACGGTCCTCATCGATGCGGCGCTCTGTGTACTCTTTATCCTGGTTCCAGGCAAGCGGCTTTGAGGGAGCATAGGCTTTGAGCTCACGGGAGCTAGTGAGCCGGCCTCGCTCCCGATCTGACCCGCTGTGCCGGGCTTTCTCGACCAGCAACCATTTTTCGGGAGAAACCAGCCAGAGTTAGGGAAGCCTTCTTCGATCACGACTGTCATGATGTCTTGAAAGTTTTTTTTTTTTATTGCTTTCTAAGGGAGCCTCGGGTGGTGCAAGGACTATATAATTACAGGGGGCGCCGGGTAGAGGCAGGACTTGCTGGGTGTTCAGGATACGGCGTGCTGTCAGCATTATTCATTTTCCATCATACTTCTTTCCGGGGCATAGGTGTGTTTCCATGGGGATGACCCCATGGTTGCTTTTATTGCTCGATGGTTTCTCTCATCTTACTGGCTTTTGCGTTGCACCCGCCGCCGATGTACGGTTTACTACATACTCCAGCTTCGCGAGTCTCCCAGTAACTGGAGAGTTGTCACTCTAATAGAACTAGCTGCACAGAATCACATCTTGATTTCTCACTTGATTTCATCGCCACATAACTTAATTTGCCATTGATCTTCGTCATCTCGTAATGCGGGCATAGTAAAATCATAAAGCCATCTTAATGGGCCGCAGTGGATGATGGAATACTTGGACCATCCATCCGCCCCGCTTACTCGCCCATCCCATCCCCTTTCTCACTTACGTCCATGGCATCTTCCTCAATGCCGGCCCCATCGCCATCCATCTGCTCGCTGCCGCGCTTCTTCGCCGCCCTTACTTGAAGCTGCGCCGTGGCCCCGTTGTCGGCTGGGCCTGCGCTTGGCTCAGAGACGTTGGGAGTGTGGGACCTGCTGCCACCACCAACCGTCAGCACGTTGTTCATCTCGCTGTTCGTGGTGCTGGTATTGGATAGACTGTTGTTGTTGCTGCTGCTGCCGCCGCCGCGGCCGCGGGTGTTGTCCCGATGTAGGACTGGGCCGGGGTCGCGGGTGTGGGTGTGGGTGTGGGGGTCGTGGAAGTTGCGGGTGTTCTTGTTGCGGAGATGAGAAGTGATAGAGGCGTCGGCGTTGGCGTTGGCGGCAGTGGCAGCGGCAGCGGCAGCGGTAAGTGAAGGCAATGAGAGATGACGAGGGGCTTGCCCACCCTTTTCCTTCTCAACCAGCATCTCGATGTCACGCGTGCGGGCGGCCGCGAGCGCCGCGCGCCGGTCGGCATCGGCGCGGAGTTGCGTCATCTGGCAGGACAGGGATTCCAACGTGGCTTCGCACCGTCCGGCCCAGGCTTGCAGGCTCGAGAGCAGGCCGCTGATCGCCGTGGGGGCAATGTCGCGGAGTGGGGAGACGCTGCTGATCTGTACGCGGGACGCCTTCGGGTTGAGCTGCCCTTTGATGAGGCCGGCGTAGATGGCGCTGATTACGAGCTCTTCGAGAGCCTGGGGGCTGGGAAGTTCGAGGGCCGTCTGGAGCGAGGCGTAGTCCAGCGCTGGAGAGCCGGGGTTGCTGGTAGTACTGTCTTTCTTGGCGAGAGTTAGGAGGGAGAGCTGGCGGAGCTTCAGGCGTTGGGCATCGTTGAGCTCAGGAAGGCCGGCGGTTGAGGTGTATGTGGAGTAGGTGCCATGGCTGAAGATTTGCAAGACGGTCAAGTATGGCGAGAACTCCTCGGATGAGCTGAGAGCCTGAAGTTGAGGAGTCTGGAGCAGCTCGGTGAAGATGAAGGTGTTCGGCGCTGAGGTCGCCCGCACGACCAAGTCGGCGGCAGCCCGTGGGGATGTGGCCGATTTGCTAAGGGCCAAAAAGGGCTAATGTGGTTATTAGTTGGATGGTTTCTTGAGAGCTCATCGGTTGAAGCTCTGCGACTATCGCCTTGAAAGGCGGGGAAGATGGGAATGATGACATACCTCAAGAGCATTAAGAGCTTTGGTCTGCTCCATCTTGATTGGTATGAACTTGTCTACCCCCTTAAAGCTCCGTTGATGTAAAATCTTTACTTTCGCCAAAGCTAACAACCGTCTTTGATGTTCAGGTCTTGGATCGGGCAAGTCGTTGTGCCTCTAGGCTGCAGCCTCGTTAGTGGGGCTGATGGAGCTTGGGGCCTGCTTCTTGGGACACCATGGGCAAAAGAAACGGAACTCCAAGTGCACGAATAGGTGCGACGAAACCTTCGGCTCGTAGGAGGAACAAAAAGAAAGCCATTCGGAAGCACAAAGCCTACTTTTTACTCTACTCGATTTCTTTTATTTCATTTAATTCTGCTCAGTTTTCTTTGTCCCTTTTTCTTTTCTTAGCTTCTTTTACTTCTGTCTCTTTTCTTGATTTTTTGCCCCCTGTCGAGTTCGCCTTTTTTTGGCTAGATGAGAGAGGTCCCCAACCTGGAGGTAAGGCTGAGCCAGACACTGTGCTTCCATGGTCGGGACCTTTGTACATGTAATTACGCGGGGACATGACCCCCCAGCACTCAGCGCCCACCAGCACGTGCCGATCGCGGGATGTTCCTGATCGGCAGCGCCAAGTTCGGTACAGTATGCGAAAAATAACAAGACGATCGCAGTCAAGTTTTTTGGCCCCTCAAACCCCTCCAACCCCGCGATAGGCTGCGCTTCGTCCGGTGTTTCGAGTTCCGCGAGAAGGTTGCTTCATATCTGTTTGATGCCGACCCCGGACCCGCTGGCCGCCAAGCGCACAGAGCAAGGTCCGGCCTCCTTTCTCGAACCTCCAGCTCGGGCCTGACCGTCCGCTTTGCCTCTGCTATCCTAGCGTGGTACCTTGGCGAAACTCGAGAAAACCAGCATGCCACGCTTCCGGCGCGAGCTCACAGTGCGAATTTTCGATGGCGCCATCCTCCCGTCTGCAGGTGTGACAATATTCCCGCGGGATGCCAACTGGCTAGGACAGGACAGGATGTGCGATTGAAGAGACTATTGGATTTGCCATTGCCCATGAAGTGTGTCTGCCGTGTGACCATTCGCGCCCCCAAAATAGATTGTCCCGAGAATTGCCCCTTCGGCAGTGACCGTGGGCGAACGCACTATCGAGAGTCTGAGCGCAACACTCAGCTCAACACGAGTCACCGGGTGCTTCCTTCCCACCATCCCGAAGAGTCGGAAATAATGGAAATGATGCAAAGCCTCGCGTTCGCCTTGCTTATTTCGCAGAGCAGCGGGAGTCCCGGGCACAGAGCTCCTGAAGGATCCGGGCCGCGCGCTATCAGCTGGAGAATGTCAGACCCGGAATACTTGTTCTTAGCTTCAACGGGGGCGTTTTTTCGTCGTCTGAAGTTTCTCGTCGTGGTAAATGGGCTAAAAAGACAGGTAAGAGATACATCCCAAGAATCGGAATTTGCTTCGAGGTCTCGTATTTTGTATAGACAAGTTATCGATTTGTATGTGTGAGTCCTGGTTTCAAGGTCCGGCAGTTCTGGTCTCACAGTAACAGATACTGTGGCCCACCCCGCAGCAGGGTCTTGGAACCGACCTAAGCCGGAACGGGCTGACAAACTCGGCTCGGTTCCGTCGCTGCCGCAGGCCAAGCTGCGCTTCATCAACTACTCACTATCTGGCTTCTGTCCTTTCTTTCCGTCGTTTTTTATTGTATAAAGGAGATCGCCATCGCTGGAAGGTGGCTTCCCTGCTTTCCGTTTCTTGCAAAACTCCGGCCCGCGCCTCGCGACAACCCCAACACGCCTCCAAATGTTATAGCGACAACTTCCCGACCGCTCGAGTGTCTAAGACGCACCGGTGCATCCCGCGCTTCTGGGCTGCTGCCAGCCCTTCGTTTTTTTTTGGGCCGAGAAAGGGAACAAAAAGAGGTTCGGGAAGATCAAAGGCGTTGCAAGATGGCGCGCCCCAATATTCAAGTGTCGCTCGCAGCGCCACCCGCGCACATGGCGACCACTACACTTAAAGTCGAGGGGATGACGTGAGTTCTGGTCGCATAAACTCTTGTTGACCTCTCGCTAATGGTCTCCAGTTGTGGCGCATGCACATCCGCAGTTGAAGCTGGCTTCAAAGGTGTTGATGGTGTTGGCAGTGTCTCAGTCAGCTTGGTAATGGAGCGCGCGGTAGTGATGCACGATCCCCAACGGATATCCGCCGACCAAATACAAGAGATCATCGAGGACCGTGGGTTTGACGCCGAAGTCTTGTCGACAGACTTGCCTTCACCGATTGCCCCTCGCGCCTCGTTCGGGGGGTTCCCCACGGATAACGGTCCCGTCCTGATGATCACGACGGTGTCGATCAAAGGCATGACCTGCGGTGCATGCACCTCGGCGGTGGAAGGCGGGTTTAAGGACAATTCTGGCGTTAAGAATTTCAGCATATCGTTGCTCTCAGAGCGGGCTGTCATCGAACACGACCCGGCACTTCTCACCGCCGAGGCCATCTGCGAGACCATCGAGGACCGGGGGTTCGACGCCGAGCTTATCGAAAGCACTGTGAAAGCGGCGGAGGAAAAGGCGGCGTCGGAAGGTATGAAGAGCGCGTCGACAGCCACCACAACTGTTGCGATCGAAGGGATGACATGTGGAGCATGCACCTCGGCCGTTGAGCAAGGGTTCAAGGATGTGGACGGACTCCTACGTTTCAACATAAGCTTGCTCGCGGAAAGGGCCGTCATCACACACGACCCTGCGAAACTCCCGGCGGACAAGATCGCCGAGATTATTGAGGATCGGGGGTTTGATGCCAAGATTCTTTCGACGGTTTTCGATTCGCAAGATCAAACGAGTGGCACGTCGACGGCGCAGTTCAAGATCTATGGCAATCTAGACGCGGCCGCGGCCAAGGCCCTCGAAGAGAAACTAACTGCACTTCCCGGCGTCAGCAGCGCAAGGCTGGCGCTCAGCACCTCTCGCCTTACCGTTACTCACCTACCCAACGTCACAGGCTTACGGTCCATCGTTGAAATTGTCGAGAACGCAGGCTACAACGCTCTGGTTGCGGACAACGATGACAACAGCGCTCAGCTCGAGTCTCTGGCTAAGACTCGGGAAATCCATGAGTGGCGGCGGGCGTTTCAAATATCCGTCGCCTTTGCCGTCCCCGTTTTTGTCATCAGCATGGTTATTCCCATGTGTGTCCCAGCTCTGGATTTTGGCTCGATCGAAACTCTACCCGGCCTGTACCTTGGCGACATTGTATGTTTGGTCCTCACAATACCCGTGCAGTTTGGCATTGGGAAGCGCTTCTACGTCTCGGGTTGGAAGTCTCTCAAGCACGGTTCCCCAACGATGGATGTTTTGGTGGTCCTCGGCACCTCATGCGCGTTCTTCTTCAGCGTCATGGCCATGCTCGTCTCCCTCTTTTTCCCGCCCCACACGAGGCCCAGCACCATTTTCGACACGAGCACTATGCTCATCAGCTTTATCACCCTTGGCCGCTTCCTGGAGAACCGCGCGAAGGGTCAGACGTCCAAGGCGCTCTCGCGCCTGATGTCCCTTACCCCGTCAATGGCGACTATCTACGCTGACCCCATCGCCGCCGAGAAGGCTGCCGAGGGGTGGAATGACGAGGTTAAATCCGAGGACCCGAAGCAGGCTCTTGATGGCAATGCGGCGGAGGAGAAGGTGATCCCCACGGAGCTCATCCAGGTGGGAGACCTCGTTATCCTTCGACCCGGTGACAAAATTCCCGCAGATGGTGTCCTGGTTCGCGGTGAGACTTATGTGGACGAGAGCATGGTCACCGGTGAGGCCATGCCGGTTCAGAAAACGAAGGGCAGCTTCTTGATCGGCGGAACCGTCAACGGCCATGGGAGGGTCGACTTCCGTGTCACCCGAGCGGGCCGCGACACACAGCTCAGCCAGATCGTCAAGCTTGTGCAAGACGCCCAGACGAGCCGCGCCCCGATCCAGCGATTGGCCGATGTTATCGCCGGCTACTTCGTCCCCATGATTCTGTTGTTGGGTCTTATGACCTTCCTCGTGTGGATGGTTCTGAGCCACGTGCTGGCACACCCCCCCCAAATCTTCCTAGAGGATGCAAGCGGTGGCAAGATCATGGTCTGTGTCAAGCTCTGTATTTCAGTCATTGTTTTTGCATGCCCCTGCGCGCTCGGCCTCGCGACCCCTACCGCCGTCATGGTCGGCACCGGAATAGGGGCGGAAAACGGTATTCTCTTCAAGGGTGGTGCAGCGCTGGAAACCACGACCAAGATCACCCAGGTCGTGCTTGACAAGACGGGCACTATCACGTACGGCAAGATGAGTGTGGCCAAGACCAACATTGTCTCCCCCTGGATCGACACCGACTGGCGGAAGCGACTGTGGTGGACCATCGTTGGCCTCGCCGAGATGGGCAGCGAGCATCCCATCGGCAAAGCCGTGCTACGCGAGGCAAAGACAGAGCTCGGCCTCGGACCGGATGCAACGATCGAAGGCAGCATTGGCGACTTCGCGGCGGCTGTTGGTAAGGGCATCAGCGCGTACGTCGAGCCGGCGACCGCCAACGACCGCTCCCGCTACAAGGTCTTGATCGGCAACGTCCTCTTCCTCGAGCAGAACAACGTCACCGTCCCCCGCACCTCCATCGAAGCCTCGGAGGAGGCCAACGCATCCCGCTCGACCAAGTCCAGCGCCGGCACCACCAACATCTTCATCGCCATCGACGGCGCCTTCGCAGGCCACCTCTGCCTCTCGGACACCATCAAGGACGGCGCGGCCGCCGCCATCGCCGTCCTCCACCGCATGGGCGTCCGCACCGCCATGGTCACCGGCGACCAGCGCGGCACCGCACTGGCAGTGGCCGCCGCGGTCGGCATCCCCGCCGAGGACGTCCACGCGGGCGTATCGCCGGACCAAAAACAAGCCATCATCCGCGACCTCCAAGACACGGGCGCGGTCGTCGCCATGGTCGGCGACGGCATCAACGACTCCCCCGCGCTCGCCACCGCCGACGTCGGCATCGCCATGAGCTCGGGCACGGACGTGGCCATGGAAGCCGCCGACGTGGTGCTGATGAAGCCCAACAACCTGCTCGACATCCCCGTCGCGCTCAGCCTCGCCCGCACCATCTTCCGCCGCATCAAGATGAACCTGCTGTGGGCCTGCCTGTACAACGCCGTCGGCCTGCCCTTCGCCATGGGCCTGTTCCTGCCCCTCGGCTTCCACATGCACCCCATGATGGCCGGCGCCGCCATGGCGGCCAGCAGCGTGAGCGTGGTGACCAGCAGCCTGTTCCTGAAGCTGTGGAAGCGGCCGAGGTGGATGGAGGAGGTCGAGGCGGAGATGAAGGGCGGGGTGGTCAGGAAGAAGGGGAGGGGATGGGGGCTGTTGGGAGGTGTGCGCGAGGCGGTGGGGGGTCTGTTTGGCGAGCGGAGGAAGAAGGGAGAGGGCTACGTCCCGCTTGCGACGCTCGATGGCGACCAGGCGGTTTGAGGGGATGTGTGAAGGGGGCGGGGGGGTGGTCTTTTCTTGTGTTCTTGTCTTTTTGGATAGTTTGGGGCGTTGGGGAGCGAGAAAGTCGGGAGGCTTGGATTGTCCCAGCGATAGTTCCTTTTGTTTTACCAGGCTCGTTATATACCTCTCGAATGTCATTTACTTGTCTCTCCCGTATTTACTGTTACCTGTGAGAGTATGGTCCTCATCAGCATGCCCAACGTGCCCAACATGCCGTGTGTCAATCACCAGAAAACAGGCCAGGTAGTTGGCGGCGGTGCGATGGCCGGGACTCTATAGCCAATACCAACAACGCTGTTGTATGTTTGTTATTTGGCATCTATTTGAGGTCTTGTTGATAGTTTGGGGCACGTCGTTCTTTCTTGCCCAATCCCCACACCGAACAGTTGGTGGTGGCCGCAGGGATCTTTGCTCTTCGAGTTGAACGACACATGTCAAAATGACGGGCCCGGGGGGCTTGATCTATCCCCGGATATCGAAAGGTAGTTGCATCGACTTGGCTTGTGGCACACCATTATACGGCAAAGCCATGTCAGACAAGAAAGCTGACAGCCGCGTCGGAGGATAGCATCCTCCGGCCGCTGACTGTGCACCTTTTAGTTTCGGAACGCAGCGGCGCAGCTATGCAAGTCGGTATTGGCGCCTCGCTCAAGCAGATTCCCATGGCATCACTTAGAAATTTGGTTGGAGGTAGGCCTTCATGGCCTTCACCGCGTCACCGTCGTGCGCTTTGAGCAGGTCGGTGGCCTTGGGCTTGGAGAGCTCGAGTTCGTCGACCTATTTCCGGGCCCAGGGTTAGTTAGATTAGAAATGCACGAATCCCTGATGTCGACGCGAGCACAAGCAAGGAGAGTAGGGACGGAACTGACGAGCAACTTGACATCGGCCGCATCCACCTTGACCGTCTTAACATCCTTCTTTGCGGCGGCGCCGCCTAGCGAGCTCATAGCATTCTTCACGGCCTCCTGATCGACCTCGCGGGAGGCGCCCTCGTCGTCTCCGCGGGCGTCGAGTTTGGAAAGAGCCGCCGCAGCCTTGCGGTCCTCGGCCGACTTGGCGGTGGGCTGAACTTCGTCCTCCACATCGCCCGAGGTGGCGCCCTCGACAATATCGGCAGGTTGTCTGTCTTCGGCCATGGTGTGCAAGCTGTCGGAAGTAAGGACCCGGAGGAATGTAGGAGTGTGTGAGCTGTGCCTTTTGGGTCGGATGTGGGTCCTGCTTTTACCTGAGTGGGCTGACCACATCAACAAAAATCGGCTGCTCGGCCAAGCCTAAGGCGGGGGAGGGGTAAACTCACTTTGGACGCTTCAGCTCTGTCGTCAGTTGGTTGGCGCTAATAATAAGTTTGAGAAGTGACTGGGTCCGGCTTCTAAGCGGGAAGCATTTCCATTGGCCAATTCTTTGGTTCAAGCTTCTTTCATCCCACCTTTAAGAGGAAAAAGCAAAGCGTTCGCAGCCTTGACTCACAGTCACAATGAAGCTCTCGGAAAGATTCATAAACCCGGGTGAAAATAGTCACCGAAGACACAAGGCTTCCAGTCAGCTGTGTAACCTTTTGAGTCATCATATTAGCTTGACTTGAACTCGAGAGGCGATAAACCCACCCTTCACCCCACGTTTATTTTTTTTTAGTTAAGTCGCATTGATAGCGATCAGCGATAACTGCCTTACAAGATAACCAAGATTTACCCCATGGCTCAGACGACAACCTCTATCAATGGGCATGCGCCCGAGTGGACGCCCGACTCGTGGCGGTCCAAGCCGATGAAGCAATGTCCCGAATACGCCGACAAAACCGCCCTCAACAAGTCAGTCGCATCACTCAACCGCCTGCCCCCCATCGTCCACCCTCGCGAGATCGTCCAGCTCAAGCAACACCTGCGCGATGTTGCCCAAGGCAAGGCCTTCCTGTTGCAGGGCGGTGACTGTGCCGAACTGTTCGACTACTGTGAGCAGAATGCGATCGAGTCCAAGATCAAGCTGCTCCTGCAGATGAGCCTGGTGCTCCTCTGGGGTGCCAACAAGCGTGTCGTGCGCATCGGTCGCATGGCAGGCCAGTATGCGAAGCCGCGCTCCAGCCCCATGGAGACGGTCAATGGCCGTCAGGTGCCTTCTTTCCGGGGTGATATCCTCAATGGCTTCCATGTCGACGAGAGGGAGCTCGATCCCGACAGGCTGGTTCAGTATGTATACCCTACACAACTATTACGTACCTAGACTGCCTTGTCTAACCCACCCGTCAGGGCCTACCACCATTCTTCGGCCACGCTCAACTACATCAGGGCTGCCATCTCATCTGGCATTGCTGATCTGAGCAAGCCCCTCGACTGGGGTCTCAACCACGTACGCGACCCGGAGCTCAAGGCCAAGTACGAGAAGGCGGTCGAGTTCCTCCAGGACATGCGCAGCTTTATGCACACTATCGGCGCCGAGAACGAGAAGTTCCACACGGTCGACCTGTTCACCAGCCACGAGGGCCTGCTCCTCGAGTACGAGCAGCCGCTGACCCGGCTGCTGGACGACCCCACCTCTTCCCCCACAGAGCCCAAGAAGGCGTACTACGACACCTCGGCGCACTTCCTCTGGATCGGCGACCGCACGCGGCAGCTCGACCACGCGCACGTCGAGTTCTTCCGGGGCATCGCCAACCCGCTGGGCGTCAAGGTCGGCCCGACGACGCCCGCATCCGACCTGCTCGCGCTGCTGCGGGCGCTGAACCCGTCGCGGGAGCCCGGCAAGATCACGCTCATCACGCGGTACGGGGCGGACAAGGTGTCTTCGCTGCTGCCGGCGCACATCCGGGCGGTGGAGGACAGCGAATACCGGCGCACGGTGGTGTGGCAGTGCGACCCGATGCACGGCAACACGCAGTCGGTCAGCTGCGGCATCAAGACGCGGCGCTTCACCGACATCTTCAGCGAGCTGCAGCAGACGCTGCGCATCCACAAGGAGCAGGGCAGCTACCTCGGCGGCGTCCACCTCGAGCTGACGGGCGACCCCGTCACCGAGTGCCTCGGCGGCAGCGAGGACCTCGGCGAGGACGACCTCTCCACCAACTACACCAGCTTCTGTGACCCGCGCCTGAACGAGAAGCAGGCCCTCGAGCTGGCCTTTTTGATTGCCGACCACTACCGCACCGAGCGGAACGGGAATGGGAAGGCATCGCCTTGAGCCATTTCCACGCACCCAAGCTTTGGCTAAAGAAAGCCAAAGAATGATTTGGCGTCGCCCAGGGAAGAAAAGGATATGATGATGGCGAGATGATGCTTAGGATATACGACAGGACACCTTGGTTCATTCGTTTAATTCGAGGGAGGATATAAGGCCAGCTCGCACGCATATGCGTTCCACATAGCTAAAAATCTCAGGCGTTTAATTGTTGGGTCTAAGAAACCTTGTCTATCCGTTTCTCTCTCCCAGTGTCAGTGCAAGATGCTCTCCTCTAGCTAGTTATTTCCAACTCACCCAACACCCAACACGCAAATCCATAGCCATGAATAACCACCTCACACCCCATCCACCCCCCTAACTCCCCTCACAAGGCACTCCTCCCCCCTCCCCCTTGTCCTAGTCCTCGTCCTCGTCCTCGTCCCAGTCAACGCACCAACGCAATCGTCTGGGCCCCCTCAAATGCATCCCCGCCCTCCACCGCCTGCCACGCGCCCACGGCCCCCGGCTCCACGCACAGCATATTTTTAAATCTGTCTTCGGGGGTAAAAATCCCAGGAGGGCCGCCACTTTCTCGTTCCCATGCGTTTTCACCCAACCACGTTGGTTGAAGTTTGTCCGCGCGTATCTCGCAACCCAGAGAAGGCCGGACATCGAACACAGGTGACCGCGTTTCTCTGTGGGCGTGTACACGCAGCTCTGTCTCTCACGTGTATGTTTAGTGCGGCTGGCAGGGACGGGTTGAGTATTGGCGCTGGGCGCGGAGGGGCCGACTTTGTCTCTGAAGCCGGCGCCCGACGAGGCCGGTTGATTTCGACGGCTGTTATATTCTGGAAGGGGAGGTTAGGGGGGTGGTTAGCTTGGTGGTGGTTGGAGGGGGGAAGAAAGGGGAGGGGGTAAAAAAGGGGAGGGGGTAAAAAAGGGGAGGGGGTAAAAAAGGGAAGGGGGCGTACCTTGACACGCAGGTAGGTGTGCATCAGGACCTGGCAGTCAAAGGGGGCGGCGGGGTCGTCGTTGGTGGCGACGATGCTGGTGGTCAGGCTCTCGGGGTTGAGGGTGACGCTGTAGATCAGATTGAACTTGAAGGGCCAGAGGGCGGCGGCCTTGGGGTCGAGCCCCGGGGCGGCCGAGCTCAGGCCGAAGTCGAGCTTGACCCCGACCATGGACTCGGACGTCGACTTGCCTAGGAACTCCCACCGCGACGTGCGCGCGAACCCGTGCTGCGGCAGGTCCTTGGTCTGCGGGTGGTCCGGGGCTGTGCCGAAGACCTGTTGTTTTGGTGTGTCCCCGTTGGTTAGCTGGTGTACGTCACAGTGAGAAAAAGAGATAGAGAGAGGAACTAACAGGGAAGACAAGAGGGATGCCACCCCTAACGGCCTTGCTGCCGTCCAGCTTGGCCGCCTCGCTCAGCCACAACTTCTCATCACCCGTGGCATCTTTCCAGCTGATGACGGTGGCGCCGTAGAGGAGCACTTCAACGCTCTCGCCTGTGGGCAGGTCGGCGCGGAGACGTGAGTTATCGTCGGTGAAAGTCACTGTGGGTTGGGGCGGTAGACCCGGAGTGGACGACAGCTTGGGAAGCGTCTTGGGTTTGTTGGCGCGGTCCATTGTATTGCTGGTATGTGAGCGCTGTTGAATTGGGAGTTGGGCGGCAGAGGAGGAGGTAAGTTCCAGTGAGTGACAAAAGATGGGGTTAAAGTCAAAGTTGTGATGAGGTAGTTGGTGGGTTACTAAGGGCCACTCACTCACTCTAGCGTTGGTTTCAGGTTGGTGATTGAGTCCAGAGAGTGGGTGGGATGGGAACTGCGGGGTAGTTACTGCTTGTGTGTATGTACCTATGGCGGGGAGCTCTCAGCGGATGAATGCAGTTGCTGCTAAACATGCACAATAATCGACATGCACAATTGGTTAAGTGGTAACCGACGGTTGTATATATATTTCCAATAAATGTGGCAAGCGGCAGGAGCCTAGACCGCGCCCTGCTGTGGCGAAGTTGATCGTCCAGGTCGCAACAGGAACTTGAGTTTGATAACCTGCGACCTTCATGCGTTGGAGATGCGGGGCACTCGTGCCGACCGCGGGACGGCGGGGTACGGACAAGCAGCCAAACACGGGCAGACGTACATAACATACATCCATACTCCATCCATACTCCATACCAGCAAAACGGGCACAGCTTCCATCCTTCTGGCCGTCGGGTGTACCCTTACGGTAGGTGCAGTAACCTACCGACGGCCGCCGCCGTCAGTCTGTGCTGCCCTATTCTTGTCAGCCGCATAACCTGAAACGCCGCCACCATTTTGTGTTGTCACCGTCGACCTCAGGGCGCCCCGCTGAAGGCCGGTCGAGGCATTTGCCCAAATCAAGCATCAAGCCAAGGTTCTTGGTTGCCTTCAGAGCTTTTCGTGCGACTGGGTGAGCATCACTCACTTCACAGTAAACAGGATTCCCATTGCCAAACTCGTATCCTCGTTTTCCAGCCCCGCAAGACCACTGCACGAGGCGTCTTCCGTTGAACTGTCTGCTAGTAGCCGTATATCTCAGCAAGCTATCCCAATGCTCTTTCACATAACATAACCTAAACCTAAACCAACCCATAAACCAGACCCGTGTACACCGACCCAGTTATCAAACGCCTTCAACCATGCAAATGTGATTACCTATGCTCGTCCCCGCCTCTCTGCTTCATACAATTCTCTCCTCATATCCATAAACATATCCTCAATTTGGTACACCTCCTCCCTTGACAGCCGTGCTGATCGCAGCTCCTCAAGCCCGCCTCGGAACAAATCCATCATCTTCTGCACCTGGTTCGTCTCCGGTGTTGTGTTGTCGGCGGCCTTGCCACCCTTTTGTTCATTGGTGGTGGGGTGTTGCATGTCAATTTGCATCGATTCCTTGGATGCCGGACTGCTCTCTTCTACCACTTGGTGTTGGCTGAACTCAAGTGCAATCTGGGATTGCACGTCCTGGTCGTCTCCTTCAAGGTCCATCGCATCCTCGATTACGGCGCCCGCGGCCTCCTGAAAGTCGCTCTCTTGGCTAAAGCTTTCGGGGCTCGATGGCTCAGCCGAAGAGCTAGGGATTCGCTGCTCAGGGCTGTCGTCTCTGCTAACATCCCCAGGGATGGTTGTCGGCAGCTCAGCCGACGCGTGCACTTCCACAACTATATCTTGGACCGGTGCTGTTTGGCTGCTCGCGGTTTCCTCCTCACTCTTTTCCGCCGAATCATGCCGTGGTCTCTTCGGGCCCGCTTCTTGTGCCTTTGAAACGGCTCGCTTTCTCTTTGGGCGTCCAGCACGCACCTTCGGTTCGGTGCTGGACGATGCTGCCGACGCCGTAGAGCTCGCTCTGGTTTTTCTCGAGGGGAGAGGTGCTTCAGCCTCCTGCGAGCTGTCCCCGACCACAATGCAGTCGATCACGGGTGACTTCGGTGCCTTGCCGTCAGGGGGCAAAGAAGGTGAAGGTTGGTGATACTCTGAGCGGTCAACCTTGTCAGAGTCCAGCTCGACTACTAGCCTGAGAAGACTCTTTTCGTCGACATCGCTGACATCGAAAGACGTAGTCCCCGCTGGGATGACAGGTAGCTGCTTACCGTCAAATGCCTCGCTTGCTTTCGTCGATCTCCCTTCCAGTTTGGGGGTCGACGGCTGTGGGCTTGTTGGCGCATCCACGAATTCCTCGCCGTCAGACTTTGTTGTTGGGGTCTCCCGGGTCCTCTGAGATAGCCGAGAGGAGCGCCGGGGCGTAGAGGGACCCTCGTCCGCTGGAGTGTTCGATGGCTTCGACGGTTGAGCTACCCCATGTTCAAAAATCATGCTGTCCTCAATCACCTCACCCGCAGTGGATGGCGTCTCCGCCTCCGCCCCGTATTCTTGCTTTACTGGGCTGCTAAGTCCCTCGGGCAGAGATACAACACTGGCGTAGCCCCGCTGGCTCGAAGGGTCGGGCACAACCCCGAGTCGGTTCGGATTCGGTGACCCGGAGACCGGCGAGGAGGAAAACTGCCATTCTTCGAGGAGATTATGACTGGCAGACCTCGATCTGATCTCGGCTGCTAGCGGATTTCCTCTCAGCTCTGGGGGCGAGGAAGGCGGATCCGTCATATCATGCTCCGGCATCACCAGTAGCTGACCACGACGAGGTGTAGGAGTTGACGAGACGTAGTCGTCAAATCCTGCTTCGGGTTCCGGGGTGGTAGCCTGCCGCGATTGGGGAGCAACGGGGAGCATCTGTTGACCTGTATCCTTTGACTTCACACCGGGGCTGGACCGGATCTCAGGGAAGAGACACGCGTTTTCCCGTTGTCGCTCACGGATCTCCTTCTGCCGTTCCGTCAGAACTTGAGACTCAAGAGGGCTACCCACGGCCGAAGAATGCCCAACCGCTGCGAACTGGACTTGCGAGTCATCGTGTCTCAACCGAGGGGTTGTGGTTTGGCGACTCCGTGTGACCGGCTTCCTTTGTGGAGATCTATCAAGATGCCTCGCAGCAAACTTTGCGGCAGTAGGTGACTTGGATCGAGACGAACTCGGCCGTGGAGTACCCCTTCGGCTGTTGGATCGCGTAGAAGGTAGCCTGGGGAAGCTGAAATCCTCGAATGAGTCGACGAAAGACGGTTGCTGTCCAGCATGCTCGGTGCTTGATGTTTCCAACCCTGGCAATACGATATCGGCATGGAGCTGCATTTGCACGAGGGCAGCTTTGAGTTGTTCCGGGTATTCGAGGTGCTCGACGTTCTCAAAGAGCCTGTTCCACAACGAGATGGCGGAGTTGGCAATGGCTCGGTGGCAGGAGGCAAACGAGGCGCAGAAAAACCGGTCAAGGCATTGTAGCTGCTGCTCAGGATGTTCAATCTCACTGATCAGATGGGAAAGCTTATCCCAAAGCGATTTCGTCTTACTAGTTAGCGATGTTTGCTCAATGGAGGGGACATTGCACTTACTGCCGCAAAGGTAGCGTTAGTCTGGCTACCGAGTAACCGTTTGCTATCTTGAAACCAGGGAAGGAGGCCGTCTTGCAAAGCGATCATCGCCCTCAAAAACAGTTCGCGGTTGCATCTGTCAAAGAAGCTGCCGAGCTCCTTGAAAAGCTGCAAAATATGATCTGGATCAACAGCACTGAAGTTGTTGTACGACGAGTCCAGAACATCGTTGGCAGCTCTGTAAAGGTTGTCGAGGGTGTCAAAGGACGAGGCGCGGGACCCAGCTAGGGTCGTGCCCCAAAGTCGCTTTCGGGCGGCATCCACAGCTTGCCTATCCCGCGGCTGCGTAGCGACGGAGATCAGCTCGGTCGCAACTTTGATACAACTGAGCGGATTGACCACCAGCCCTCGAGCTACGAGTTGCTCGGCTGCGACCTTGGCCAGGGGTTCGATGACTACGATTGCCGCTCCGGCGTCTCCGGTCTCCTCGCGTACCCGCTCGTAAGCTGCGTAAAATAAAGACTCCCAATGCTTCGGCGGAAGGTTAGGTGTCGACTTGATACCGCGTTCGAGGATCTTGACGACATCGCGGTAGTCATGGCCAACTGGCGTCTCTCCTGCAGAGCCGGTCGAGTGGTGGCTGTTGTGTCTAGGCTCAAGCCAACTGGAGATGTTTTCAGCCACCAACAACCAAGGCCCATAGGGCCGAGGGGCATCCATGGGGACGGTCGATATCAATTCTTGCGCCATGTCCATTTTTGCCTTGTCTGACTTGGAGACGAAGAAGGGAGCAAAAACGAGACGGAAAAATACCGCATAAACATTGTCGTCGGAGACACCTGGCGTAGCGTTGAGAGCATCGAGAAGAGGGTGAAAAGAGGCGCCTTGGCAGACGCTTGGTGCTTTCCGGCTTTCTCTGTGAAAGGGAGCAGGCCGAGGGAGTTAATCATGACCTCTAGGTAGGTTCTTGCGGCGAGAAAAAAGTCGGAAACGTTGCGTTCGGCCGCGTCCTGGCCCGACAAGCCGCGCTTCCAAACCTTCTGTAAAGCACCGAGGGCCTCCGCGACGAAGAGAGCTGTATCCCTCGAGACTTTGATCTCCTTGGCCGCCGCCGTAGCGACTGTCGAAACCAAGGCCCGCCAAAGACCGCAGGTTGGGCTGTCGGCTCTGGCTAGCGCGAGGAAATCCTGTTCAAGAATGGGCTCAACCACGCCGAACACTCGGCTGGTATTGCGCCTGATCCATTTTGAGTCGAGAGGCGGGAGCTCTTCGGGTTTCACGAGCGAAGATTCCACGATATGGTCTCCAGCCCATCTCCGTGGCGTCGTACAGTCAAAGAGGCCTCCGAGAATAGCACTAGCCTGCCGAAGATTGTCGTCGGCAGCCTCGGCGGTATTGTCAAGCAGCTTTGTTAGCACAGGCTGAACGCTGGTATCCCAATAAGTATCCAGAAGCATGGAATTTGTGTTGGGTTTGAAGGCGTAGTAAAACAGATTGCAGATGCCGCCCAAAACAGCCTGCCGCAGCTCCTCTGACGTTTTCCCGGAGCCTCTGCGCCTCAGCTGGCTGACGAGAGGGCCCGTTAGGGTTGCTAGGTTCTTCGGAAACGCCCGTTCCTCGAGGTGTATGAGGTAGACGAGGCGAGCCCATGCATGGTTAGCCCTAATTTTGGTTGGAAAATCGGAGCTGTTGAAACAGTTTTGGATGACGTGAAGCCAGGGCCCGGTGTACTCCCATTTGTCGAGCCGGATACGAAGAAGGAGGATGACGACGCTCCATATCTCGGGGACAATGGCCGATTCGTGCTTGTCCTTGGACATGATCTTGAGCCTCCCCTCGTAATACTGGATATACCGCTTGTCTTCGTGTGAAAGGTTAAAAATCTCCATGACCTTCCGCGACAGCTGCTTTTCGTGCCCAATGGTAAAAGCTGCTTCCAGTCCGAGGGAGATGGCGGCCGATCGGATATCCTTCAGGTTGCTGAGCATATCCGTGAACATGTCCAGCAGCCAGTCTGAATGAACAACCATGAGTTGCTTGGACTGCTGAACCAGTTTCCGGTAAATCAAAATCCGAGACAAAACAATGCTCTTCCCTTTCAAGTGTTCCTCTATGTTGTGCAGTGACGAGACCAACCTCCCGACTCTGTCCGTAGTCATGACTTTGGGGGAAAAGTTCTGCAAGGAGATGACCTGCATGAGGCGGCGCGCAGTGTCTTTTGGGGTAGAGACATCCTCGAACGAGCGGATGCAGTGGTCGATGATGAAGACGCCGAAGTCGTTTGATATTGTGGAGGATATGGCGGGAAAGTGCAGGAATGTGTTGAGTAGATTGAGCGCGTGGTTAACAAGCGAGGAATCGAGGTTGCCTTCGGCCGTCTTTGCCACAATATCCCGCTGCATGAACTGGGTAAAGAGGGTCATCTTTTCTTGCAGAGCTACCCTGTCTGGGAGGTTGTTGGAAGCCTTCCATGCTCGTGTCAGCATCAGGTAGGCGTCGAGCTTCGAGTCGCGGTCGCCGCCAGCGAGCTGCTGTAGGGTGGATTCCAACATGGCGACCAAGTTGAGTTGGGGGTTCGGTAAATCACAGTCAGCCCCGGCTGTCGAGTCGAGGAGATTATGCGCGTTGGCGGTGACTTTGAGGATGGACTTGACAGGTTTCGATGCGCTTCGTGGCATGGACACGGGAGTCGGGTGCTGTCTCACTCCCTCCCCGTCGGGGTAGACGGGCGGCTCCTTGTATTCAGCTTGAGCAGAGAAGCCAACCTTTTTCCGAATTCGGCGGGAGGTCGAGGCTGCGGCGGTCGAGGAGGTGGGCGACGGGAATCCGGGCGGAGTGTGGATGCTCAATCGGGTGTTGATGGAGCCCAACGAAGCTCTGGGAGCTGCAGCCTCATGGTGCGCCTCACGCGGTGGGGTCGGCGGTCTTGGTGGTAGAGCGCTCAAGAAACTGGACAACACGGCTGGAGATGACATTCTGCCCTGTTGACCAGCTTTGGGGGGGGGGGGTAGGGTGCAGACGGACTGCCTCCTGAGACGAGCGAAGCGTCACCTCGAGTCGTACGGCGGCAATCGCATTTGAAACCAGAAAAAAAAAATGAAAATGAAGGCTGGAAAACAGTATAAAAAAAAAGGACCAAAATCCAACAAGGGTATCAGAATCCAGAAAAGAGCGTCAAATGGTAATCGGACGATGTCCCTTGCCGCGATGAGGCAAGCAGCGGCAGTGGGGGAATAGGTACTTCGATTGATGGAGCACCTCGAGGACAGCTCGGCAATTAAGACTTTTGACGCGGTCGCGTGCGGAACCGGAGAAGGCGCGTCTGCATCGCGCACCCACTTTGTCGATGGTACCTGGGCCCACCTCAGCCTCTCGCTTTAGCTAATTACTCAATCTGGCTTAGCCTGGTTGAACAGCAGATCTTCGTGGCTCAGTTTCACGAACGAGAGATGAGGTCAAGAATACGAATATACAACGAAGTACATTTATATTTTACAAGAAGCTGGGTTCCTATTTTGTTCCATCTTAGTAAGTGGGTTAGGTGGCTCATGAAGCTCCTCTTGACCCTCGAAGACAAGCATGAGCTGTGAACTCAAGTGCAAGGATTCCTTACCTTGTAGTTATTTCGTGTAAAGGACGAAAGCCGTCCACACTAAGTAGTGGGGCGACACTGAATGGAAAGTAACGACCTCCCTACCTGCTGAATCCGCTACCCAAGCCGCAACAACCCAGGATTTAGACCCCTTCATTCGAAGCGACCCATATCAACCCGAGGCTCCGGAAAGATACGCCCATGCTTCTGCTACCCTGACATCTGAACTCCGATAGAATCCACCGCGTCGCCTCGCCATCATACACAGGAGACCAAACCCAGCTTTAAACCCGCCGAAGTGGGGTTCCGCTTTCCACTATTTGGAACCTCGTCCCGGATAGCCAAAAGGAACAAGCAGAACAAACAGGTCTTGGACTGTACACGCATAATAGTAATAATACAGACAACGAGGGCCCTACCTAGCTATCATGGCGCAACTTACCGGTCCCGGTGCGTACCTTGCCTCTGGGTTGCCCATTTGTGATGATAGCTGACCTCCACTCAGCCAAGCTTGATGCGGTCCGGAAGCTGCTCGATGACCTGGCTAAGGACCTTACATCCGGCGCCCTTCAACCTCAAGGTCGGTTACCGTGTCATTAATATAGCGTGTTTTGAACAGTGTTTGCTGAACTTTGACATAGAACGTGATGCGGCTCTTGAGGAGCTGAAGCTGTACGGGCGGGACCCCAGCTATGCAGACCCCATCTTCACGAAGGAGGTATGTAGACTTGCCAGGTGCTTTCTCTTCAGTCTCTCACATGTCCCGTAGGGTATCGGGATTCTCGCCAAGTTTGCTTTTGATAGCTCCTCAGATACCACGTCCCGCAATGCGCTCAAGGTTCTTTGCAATACTCTATTCATCAAAGACCAAACCCGGCAGATCTTCGTAGATCTAGGATACGAGCCCAAGGCATGCGCCAAACTCAAGAACGACAACCGAGACGACGAGTTTCTAATTTCCAGGCTGATTCTACTATCCACTTATGGCACGAATATCGACCTTCCAAAACTGATCGAGCAGCACCAGTTGGCAGACTCCATGGTAGCGCACCTGTCAAGACATGCCGGACGTCTCTCTGCGCAACCATCCGCAACGACCGCAGCAAACCCCATGGAGAGGATGGCCCTGGACGAAACCCTCAAGCTTCTCTTCAACGTCACCAATTTTGCCAAGGAACACCTCAACTCCTTCGATGGAGCACTCCCGCACATCGCCTCTCTCCTCTGCGCGCTCCCCCTACCCCAAACCAAAACACCACTTGACCCTCCGTTCGGTCTCCTCATTGCCCCACTTCTCAACCTCGATCTCACAACCCCAGCCGCCCAGGCTGCCCTCTACCCATCAGCGGAACCCTCACGCATCGCGAGCCGTCTCCTCCAACTGCTTGACCTCTCCATGAAGTACTACAACGACACACAAATCGAATCTACCGTGACTCCCCTCCTCTGCTCGCTCTCGGTCCTTTACGAGCACGCACCCAACGAAGCCACGGCCACCACAACCACCAGCACCACCACGGACACCGCCACAGACACCGCCACAGACACCACTACGAACACCACCGTAGCCAACCACCCCCGCGCCACCATCCGCGCAGCGCTGCTCCCTAAGGAGGAAGACCGCAAGACGGTGCTGGGGCGCGCCGACACGCTGGCGTCGCGGCTGCTGCGCAACTGGACCAACCCGCTGGCGCCGCAGTTCCGCAGCGCCGTTTCCCACCTGTACTTCGATCTGTCGGGCAAGGACGCCGTGCGCTTCATCGAGAACGTCGGCTACGGCTACGCGTCCGGGTTCTTGTTTGAGAAGAATATCAGTATCCCTGAGGGGGCGATGCAGGGGCAGGGGTTGCAGGGGCGGGAGGGGGCGGGTTCTGATGGTGGTGCTGGTACTACTGCGGCGAAAGGTGGTGAGAGTAGCGCCGCGGGGATGAGGGCGGTTAATCCGATTACGGGGCAGTTTTTGGATGAGGAGCGGTTCCCTGACCTGCCGGAGATGACGATGGAGGAGAAGGAGCGGGAGGCGGAGAGGTTGTTTGTGTTGTTTGAACGGTAAGTACTTGGTCCGACTCGGAGACCACGTTGATGATGTGACTTGTTGCTAATAAAGAATAGGTTGAGGCAGACGGGAGTGGTGTCGGTGGAGAACCCGGTCGCGACGGCGATGCAGGAGGGGAGGATCCAGGAGCTGCCGGATGACGAGGAAGATCTGGACTAGTGGATTGCAATAGGGTTCTGATTATGGAATGTCAGAGAGACTCTTGTAGTGACCACAGTGCGGTTGCCTAGAAACTGCCGGGTGCATGCGTGGTATGGCAAGATACATTCGGTCTGGTCCTCAGTTAGGGGTCGGACATAGGTTGCCAGGGCGCTAAGCTTTTTGTCCTTTGGCCAATACTGTCAAGCAATATTTCATACTGACACGAAAACTCTCAACATAAACCTTCGCCTGCATTCAACCTTGTTTAGGAGAAGCCAGAGCTTGAGTGGTTGTTTATAATGAGATGCAGTTCTAAGCAAATTGAATACGAAGACCAGTCGAGCAGATCTTGTGGCCCTTAATGCAGATGGGGGAGAGGCCACGCCGCTGAAGAAGCGAGGCCGCCCTGCTCGGTCTGCAGGTGCTGCTGCCAGCGCACGGCTTGCCGCTAAGGCCGCTAGCAAGCCCACCCGCGGTCGACCCAAGGCCACCACTGTAAGTATCACAACCAAGAGAGCGACCGTTCCCAACGCTAACCTCAAGAACAGGCGGCGGCAAAGCCCGCTAAGAAGGCCGGACGCCCCAAGAAGGATGCTGCCGACGAGGAGGTGCCCGCCGGCGAGTACGAGGTCGAGAGCATCGCCGACTCGATCATCGACGCCGACACCATGGAGCACATGTACCTGGTGAAGTGGAAGAACTACCCGGCGAGCGACAACACGTGGGAGCCCAAGAAAAATCTCAAGGGCTCTCTAGACCTCGTGCGCAAGTTCGACGCCGCCAAGAAGAAGGCCAAGGCAGCCGAGGCTGCGAAGAAGGCCGCCACTAAGAAAGCGGCCGCTCCTGCTTCCAAAGAAAGGAGTGCGAGGAGGGGTGCGAAGCCGAAGGCCGTGAAGGAAGTCAAGGCGACTAAGAAAGGTCCTGGCCGGCCGCGGAAGAGGAGGGCGGGCGCTTGACCGAGCGGCTGGGTTTTCTCTTTTCTTTGCCTTCCATAATTATTTTCTTGGAGACGCTATTCCGGAACGGAACCCTAAGGAGGCACGACGGTCTCAGCAAGGCGAAGAGCTCACTGCTGATTCAAATCCGGACGGGAGCAATAGGCTTACGGGACTTCTTACTTCTTGTTTACACGGGGAGTCCCGGAGGTCTTGACTCCTGCCTGCGAGTGTGGCGAGGGACGAGAGGCTGCCGAACACCTGGTAGTGTGGTGTTTGGCCCCACCGTTGACTCGAAGATGGGAGAGAACTGGAATTCGGACACGACGGGACTTTTACTCTGTTCTACACGGCATCAATCCCACGACTGCACGGCTCGCGAGGAGAGTTCTCGGCTGGCTGATGGACTCGGGGAAGCTGCCGATGTACAGCTTAGCCAGGAGGCTCGAGCTGGAAGCGGCGGCCTGAAGCGCCCCCGTCCGGAGGCCAGGAGGCCTCCTCTCTTTGTATACGCAGACTCGCCAGAACGCATCGTTCCTTAATTGTTGGTATGGGTTTTTCACCCGGCCCGGGAAGGCACGGTTTTCCTGTACACGAAATAGCAGAGGGTCCGGCACGCCCTAGGGCATAGCGGAGTATGAATAATAATATAATAATTATTTTCTTTAATACGTTCAGTCTCTGGTTATTGGGGATTGGCCCGGTTCTGTTCGTTGGCAGGCGGAAAGGGGATAACAAGGGGCGGCGCCCTCAACCTAGATAATCCAGGGGCTTCTCATGGTTGCTTGGGCCGGTCGCCGGCTTTCTAATCGCCCATCACTTGGCTCATCCAAAAGGATAAAGGCTTGCTTGACTGGGTGACATTGAAGCATTGTTAGTGGTACTGTACTTGTAGACAGAACGGCTATGGCATAACCTGACTTGTGATAGGTTCACCATGAGTTGTGTGTTGCCATCGTTGATGACTCGTCGACTTCAAGGCGTTTCTTTCGTAGTCGTGCCAATTATTTAGAGCCACGAATAATCCTGCGTCGGCTGGGCTGCCACGACGGGGAAATCACATATTCCTTTGGGAACCACACGTGTACATATATGTTAGTTGTTCTTGTCAGATGCCCGGGGGTTGTTAGGAGATTGCCGGTGAAGTTCCATGTCGAGAGTGTCAAGTGTCGGTCCCCAGTGTCGGGCCCGCAGTGTGGGGCACCCCCGTACTCTGATTGATGACGTTCGGGAATTTTGACACGCAAACCGTCAGCTTCCAAGCTTCTTCGGCTTCTTCAGCTTCATCATTGCCCGACAACCCTCAATCGCGTCGCGAACACCACCAAGATACCCTACAAACCATCAATCGAGCACGAGCCGATAACCCACACAAGCTCTAGCCTCAACAATCGCGAAGATGGACGCGCTCCGCTCGGCGATCCAGCCGATCACGCACAACCTGCCCGGTCCGATCCGCGACCTCGGCGAGTCCATCATCGGCGACGCTTGCTACAAGGCGCTCCTCCTCGATGTCGACCTCGAGAACACGGCGTGTGTCAAGCTGGCCGTCAGCAAGGGCCTAGGCATCGGCATCGTGGGCGCGTCGTCCATCGTCAAGGTGCCGCAGATTCTCAAGCTGGTGCAGTCGCAGTCGGCCAGCGGCGTGTCGTTCCTCTCGTACCTGCTCGAAACCAGCAGCTACCTCATCTCGCTCGTCTACAACGTCCGCAACGCCTTCCCCTTCAGCACCTACGGCGAGACCGCGCTCGTCCTGGGCCAGAATGTCATCATCACCGTGCTGGTGCTCAACTACAGCGGCAGGGCCAGCATGGCGGCCCTGTTCGTCGCCGCCCTTGCTGCCAGTGTTGTCACGCTGTTCAGTGAGAACCTTGTGGACATGCAAAACCTGAGGTACCTCCAGGCCGGCGCCGGTGCGCTTGGCGTGGCGAGCAAGGTGCCTCAGATTCTCGCGATTCTGCAGGAGGGTGGTACGGGGCAGCTAAGCGCGTTTACCGTAAGTTGACGACGTTTCCTTGTTGAAAATGCACGAATTGGCCTTGGTTCTAATTGGGTGTTTATGCAGGTTTTCAACTACCTCCTCGGCTCGCTCGCGCGCGTCTTTACGACATTGCAAGAAGTGGACGACAAGCTGATCCTATACGGATTCGTCGCTGGGTTTGCGCTGAACCTCGTGCTCGCGCTGCAGATGGTCTACTATTGGAATGCGCCGTCGGCTAAGGCTAAGGGCAAGCAAAAGGAGGTTCCCGTGGCGGCGCCGGTCTCGGCTACCACGACATCAACACCCAAGAGCAAAGGGCCCACGACTCGTCGCCGTGGTTAGGATATGTGTTTCACTTTGCCTTTGGCTACAGGTTCCGGCCAGAGTGCGGCGTTCTTTTTGTGGTTAATCTAACACTAATGCCTCCTTCATTTGTGTCACGAGTGCTTTGACTGCCATCGACCAGTTGCTCTGACACGTTTTCCCCTCGGCCTTTCTTGACGTTCGAGACCGTTCGACGGCATTCTATGACAAGGTCATGTGTCCTCGGCCAAAAATCCACCGCCAATCATTCTGAACTTGACCGCTTCGAGCTCGGTGACCACCACACAGCTCCCACTCTCGAGCCCAGGCCTTTGCGGCTATCTGCAGCTCGGGAGGGACCCGGAAGCTCCGGTGACAGTGGGTTTCTCTTGACGGAGCCACGGCGGTGCTGTGGATTATATTTTTTTTCAAACCCCAACTTCAAGCGCCTCCCCAATCACTGTGGGGACCCCTGATAATCCCCCACACGACCCCTGTCGTGCGCTTGGTGTGAAAAAAAAACCAAAAAATCGAACGAACAGCACTCATCCGATGTGCGTTGATAAGGGTCCAGGCACACAAGGAGCGGTGAAAAGATCTCATTTTAAACTCTGAGAACTATTGATCTTAACTGGAAGCGTCTAACTTCTGGTAAACGCCACGACGTGCCTAGAAAGCTGAGATGAGATGTTTCTCGGACACATATCAAACGTGGGAACAACTCACCGCCAAGCAGCGCTCCATCGTGGATTTTGAAGAATGCGGCGAATGCTCTCGTGATGCCAAGACAAAGCCACTTTGCGAATCGGCGTTCCTGGACCCGCCGATTGCCCCCTGGTAGCCAGCGGACCCTGGTGTTTGCCAGACAGCCGGGCTCCGAGGAAAGAAGAATAAATGGAGCCGCCCCTGCTCGCTGTGTTCTCATCCCGTCTCTCGATGGCGCCATCTGACGAGCTCATCGGATTGCGTCAAAGAAGGTTGCGTGCTCAGGCGTGATCCTAACCCCTTGCCTCCCCCCGCCTACCCGCCGTTTATACAGAGCTACACCAAAAGATCGTGGGGGGTTTGACTCTTTCTCTTCATCTTGATCTTCTTTGAGCAAAAGTAGACTACGCCACATCCACTCGGCTCCATCCCGTTGCGAGCACTTGCACACCTTCACTTTTACCTAACTCGGCATTGTCGCTCTTGGCATACATAAAGCCTTGCGAGCTAGCTTTCTGCAAAAACAAGCTCCCCACGATAATTCTCCTTCCCGCTTGCAGGCATCATCCCGTAGGGCTGAAGCACACGCCACGGTGTAGAAGGGCCGATACGTTCACCCCTCGCATATCTACTACACGCAGAAGAGGGCAGACACAGCAATGGCTCCAGACCTCAACTCGCTCCCGGCTTCGCCCCTTCCGGGCAAGCCCGTCAACCTCACGCGTGGTGGTGGTGGCGCAACCAATGGCGCGACCAATGGCGCACCAGTCCCGGGGAAGAAGCAGCCCAACATCCTGTACATCATGGCGGACCAGCTAGCGGCGCCCCTCCTCAAGATGTACAACCCGGACTCGCAGATCCTGACCCCCAACCTGGACGCGCTGGCGGCGCGGTCGGTGCAGTTCGACTCGGCGTACTGCCCGTCACCGCTGTGCGCGCCGTCGCGCATGAGCATGATCACGGGCCTGCTGCCCATGAAGATCGGGGCCTTTGACAACGCGGCGCCCATCTCGAGCGACATCCCCACCTACGCCCACTACCTGCGCATGCAGGGCTACCACACCGTGCTCGCCGGCAAGATGCACTTTATCGGCGACCAGCTGCACGGCTACGAGTCCCGCCTCACCAGCGATATCTACCCGGGCGACTACGGCTGGGCCGTCAACTGGGACGAGCCCGACACCCGCCTCGAGTGGTATCATAATGCCAGCTCCATCCTGCAGGCGGGCACCTGTGTGCGGAGTAACCAGTTGGACTATGATGAGGAGGTCATGTACCGGTCGACGCAGTTCTTATATGACCACGTCCGCGAGGGGCCGGGGGCCAGGCCCTTCTGCTTGACCGTAAGTTCATTAGTTCATTGGTTGCTGGGGATTGAAATATCTCCCTCCCGTCCAGATCGGGAATCTTGGGTTCCGTGATTGGTTGGGCTCACACGCACGTTGAGCGTGGGGGTTTTCCTGCCGTTCGGTACTCGTGGTGGTGGTGGGCGTATGCACATGCAGAGCGGTAAACTAACAGGGCGGGGTGTTATCTTTTAGGTTTCCTTGACGCACCCCCACGACCCGTACACCATTGAGGAAAAGTACTGGGACCTCTACGAGGGTGTCGACATTGACCTGCCCAAGGTCAAGATCCCCAAGGAGGAGCTCGACCCGCACAGCAAGCGCTTGATGAAGGTGTGCGACCTCTGGGATACCGAGTTCACCGATGAGCAAATCAAGCGGGCCAGGCGGGCGTACTATGGCGCCGTCAGCTACGTCGACGACTGCATCGGCAGGCTGTTGGATGTGCTCAAGAAGTGCAAGCTAGACGAGGACACTATCATCGTCTTCAGCGGCGACCATGGCGACATGCTCGGCGAGCGCGGGCTTTGGTAAGTCTACTCCCTTTTTCCAAACTGTGGATCCTCACGGTCATAAAAACAAAAGAAAAAGAAAAGGCTAACAGCCACGCAGGTACAAGATGAGCTACTTCGAGTCGTCGGTCCGCGTGCCGCTGCTCGTCTCCCACCCCAAGCAATTTGCCCCGCGGCGCGTCACCTCCAACGTCTCCACCCTCGACATCCTGCCCACCATGTGCGACTTCGTCGGCACTAAGCCCGCCTCCTTCCTACCCATGGACGGCGTATCGCTGCTCCCGCACCTCCAGAACGCGCCCGAGGGCGGGCACGACGAGGTGTTCGCGGAGTACACGGGCGAGGGCACGGTGCGGCCGATGATGATGATCCGGCGCGGCAAGTGGAAGTACGTGACGTGCCCGGCGGACGGCGCGCAGCTGTACGACCTCGAGGCGGACCCGCTCGAGGTGGCCGACCTGGTGCGCAGCGGCGCCGTCGTCGCCGACGAGAAGACGCGCCGCGTCTTTGAAGGGTTCGAGGCCGAGGCCCGCGCCAAGTGGGATTTTGACGCCATCACTGCCCAGGTCTTCCACTCGCAGCGCCAGCGCCGCCTGGTCTGGTCGGCCCTGACCAAGGGCAAGTTCACGAGCTGGGACTTTGATCCCGTGGATGATGGCCGGGAGAAGTAAGTTGCGCTCTTGTTCTCCCGTTATCTCTTTCCCCTATTCTTCTTTTTTCCGTTCCAAAGAGTGGGCTCATGCTGACATGGAGACAGGTACATTCGCTCCCACATCCCGCTTGACGACCTCGAGCGTAGAGCTCGCTTCCCGGCCGTGGACGCGTTTGGGCGGGAGACGGGCTCGGTCATCGTTACCGACCAGGCAGGCTCGCATGGGCAGTAGGTGATTTCTGCTGAAATGGTGAAAATGTCCATATCTAGTTAGTTTGCATATGCCTGGTTTTCTCTTTTCATTTTTCTCGGTCTCGGACGGTTTTCGGGGCATGACTTAGCGTGGCGCAAAGCGTTTTAGCATTCCTTAACGATAATTAGCAAGCACTACGTAGATAGCAATAAATGCCCTGCGTTTCAACAACGGGTTGCAAAATCATGTATTTGAGTTCCGATGCTGAATGCTGTTGAGACCTGGGTAAGAGACCTGGGAGCCCAGGCCATCATGCCTTGCGCATCATTGCATCACTGCATCATTGTGGCCAGGTTTGTCAGGGTTAGGGTCTTATTCAAGCACCCCTGCTGAAGCTTTCCTGGAGCTGCCCCTCGTCGCGGCCGAGATGTTTGAAGTACCTCCCACCCATTGTTTAACTCGCCTCCATAACCCACGCGTTCAAAATTCTTACCCCTTCTCCCCATCCCCCCCCTTTCCACGGAAACCAAACCCCGACCATTTCTTTTCAATAATATTCGTACAAACGACACCGAAGTCATGACGTCGCTCAACATGAGCCCCGAGGAGCTTAAGCAACTGGAGCTGTTGCGTAACCGGTTCGCCCAGCTCACGAGCAATCTCGGGAGCTTGCGAACAAGTGTCTCGAACTCGAATCCCCTTCCCACATAGTCAGTCCAACCCGCGCACTTTCCAACTCTGCTTCTCGCTGATCCTCCCCCGCCCAGCGAATCCCTCCAAGCATCCGTCAACATCCTCCAAGCCAACATCCGCTCCATCCAAGACATCGCCACCGAAAACGCCGGCTTGTTCCAGCGCCTCGCCATCCACCCCTCGACGAACTTCCCCGGCCGCACCCAAGAACACATCCTCACCCAACTTTTACGCAAAAAACTCGAGCCGAACGTGGAGAGCTGGGTGGAAGAGGCGCGGGCGACGGCGCGGGGCGTGGGGGTGGACGCGAGTAAGCTGGCGGGCGGGGTGCACCGGCGCGGGGAGCACGACTACGACGACGAGGGCACGTACGGCATGGACGAGGACGGCGACGACGCGCCCCAGGACCCCTTCAGCGAGCAGTGGGCCGACATGCTCGACAACTTCCAGCAGACCCTGCAGCAGTACGTCACCGTCCAGGTCAAGAAGAAGTACACGGCCGAGGAGCGCGCGGCCGGGATTGAGAATGTCCGCACGGGCTTGAGGCAGACGCTGGAGGAGAGTGAGGATGATGATGAGGATGAGGAGGAGGAGGAAGAGGATGAGGAGGAGGATGAGGCTGCCGCTGCCGCGGGCAACGCTGGGGGTCTGGCTACTGGGGCTGGGGGCTCTGCTGCAGCTGGCGGGGGGATGTTTGGGGCGATCGAGCCAGAGCACATCTTCTACTTGCAAGCACAAGGCAACCTGCAGCTTCCTGGGAATGTCCCGATCGAGTCGAAGCGCATACAAACGGTACCGACTCGGCGGGTGGCGCCGCCGAGGTAAATGCGAGAAACACGCTAGGGTCAATGATCCGGTTCTCGCAAGCGCAATTTCAAAACCACAAAACTTTTAACGGCTCGCTTGCTTCGGAGTATCTTCCGTCGCCTATGCTCTATCCGCAACCGAGAGTTGGATAAGGGAGTTCGGAGGACACTGAGCGCGGGGGAGGGAGAGATTTTAGGTGAGAGCCCTTCTATGACCTAGGTATCTCTTGGTTGGTGTGCAATCAATGGCTAATAGGTGGAACGCAGTGTGCGAGCGCTTTATTATGTTAGCTAGGAAGACGTGACAGCTCCTGGCCCTACTATGCGTAGCCGATGATTATCATCGATACAGCGTTATTGCGGTCAGTGACGCATCACTCATGGCCAAATTCGCGTCGTGTTCCGTAGTACGCTTAGAGATTGTCAATGTTATCGACTCTTTTAGTCGACAGTTGCAGCTGGCAGGGCGTGCTGTTAGCATCCACAGTGGACAGCCCGTCTCGTCTGAACCACCCATGCTCCTATGATGACGTTGATCTTAATGGTATCGTCCGAGCCCGAGTTCTTAGAACCCACTAGATACCTACTTGCGTCATCGTATGAGTAAGGTATGCAGTCCACAATTGGGACCAACCTAAGGTACTCAAATACCCGGCCACCAACTACCTAGCACACTGACCTCTTTTTCTTGTACGATACACATTACTGTCCATTTCTCACTTGAGCTACGAAGCAGAACGCACCTAATCCTACATCGATTGTCCACAATATGCCCAAAATGGCCAACCTGTTACAACGATTCCAAGCGTGGGTGGAATCAATAATATCGCGAGCCGGGGGCGAAAGACTCGACGTCAGCCACAGCCCGGGCCTTGAGGTCAGCAACAAGCCGGGTGATACTTCCTCGAGCGACACGTCAAGCCAACGAGAGACCTCCCTCGAGCGATACATCAAGCCAGCCAGAGCCCTCGTCATCTTGTCAAGCCTACAGGCTGAGGATGTTACCGGAGCCCACCATGCCATTCAAGGACGACACGGCCTCAATCATCAGTGATGCTGTTGGCATTGCTGCCGCAGAAGGCGGATTGGACGCCGCTTGCAAGGTGGTTGCCGTCATCGAGGCCGTTGCCTATGGTGTTAGCGTGGCACCGAGCGCCGAAGCGCAGGTTACTGCTAATATAATAACTACTTGTATCGCTAACTATGCTGCCGCGAGGAAAGGCGAGGCCGGGGCTTTCTATCGAAGCCATCTGCGAGCAAGCTCGCAACGCTGTGCCAGCCTCATCCGAGATGCGTCGTACAGGAGCCTTTGAGTTCGTTTTGGAAAGCATTCGTGACGCTCTATCTCAGATTGAGACCTGGGAAGCTAACAGCAATCTTTCTCCCGCCATCGTCTATACCGGCGCCCCGGTCGCAAACTCGGTTGCGATGTTATTGGAATCCGGGTGCAGATTGAACGCTGCTGATATATGGTCTGATGCCGCGGAAAGAGCTCATGATAGACTCCGTAGCACCATTATCAACACTAGCTACAGCACCCCACCACTCCCCGACCGTGCTACCAGCAGCCGCGCTGGCGGCGGTGAACTTCGAAACACCGACCCAGGTCCTGGGACCCCGAAGCGCTGCTGCAAACGGCCAGGCTGCGGGCGGCTATTGGTGCGCTCAGAAAATACGCCGAGAATGCGCACGTCTTGGTGGCATTAAATGTACTCAATGCCGTCGACGCCGGGGGTCTGTCTTTCCTACGTTAACGAGGAGGGATTGGGCAGCTGGAAAGTGCTACCAGGTATTATTATACTGGCAGCGGCGGCCTCGAAAGTTGCAGCGCTTTAATGCAGGCGAACCGGCTAGAAGCAGCTCTTTGTGCTCTCTGGACCTACAACACTAACATGGGCGATCACGAAGTAGCTGGTGGTTTGGCAGCTGTGGCTGCTGGTGTCGGCCTCCGGCTTCCGCCTGAGGACTTTGAAAGATCCTAGCTACCTAGGCTGTCCGATGGCCATACCCAAGATTTTAGTTGGACGCCAGGAGGGGAGGGGAGAGCCGCACCTTCCTCGTATCTACGCTGATATACTACCTAGGTAGCAGCTTCCTTCTGGCCCAGGTAGCCGAGGAAAGGGATGGAGGGAAGGGCCCCAGCCGACGATACTGAAGTTGCCAATTAGGACGGCGAGCTTCGCAGCCATGTAAACCTTGATAAGCCCCGCGTCTTCCGTCGACTGCCTGTACCAAAGCAACAGCAACGGCAGCAGCAGACCAGCAGACCAGCAGCATAGCAGCAGCAGCAACAACAACAACGACGACGACAACGACAACAACAACAACAACACCGTCACCACCATCACCACCACCACCACCATCCCCCCCTCCCTCCCCCGCCGCCAGCGCCACCCCAACCGCAAGTCCCACACCCACACTCGCACCACCAGCACCACCACTAGCACCGAGGCCAGCAGCAACAATGCCCACTGCGATGGAGACCGTGGGACTTGTGGTCGGGGTGCTGGTGGTCGCCGTCTCCGTCGCCGGCATAGCCGATAGCCGCCTCCGGCAGCGTGAGGAGCTGGCTCGGGCCGAGCGCCGGGTGAGAGAAGCGCGGGCGTCGGAGGCGACGGCCAGCTCGGAGGCGAGGAGGGCGGCGAGGGAGGCGAGGCGCGACGTCGCCGCGGCCCAGAAGAGGGAGACGACCGCCGTCGCCGTCGCCAACGAGAAGGTGGAGGAAGTTTAAATTTTTGATTTTTTTTTTGGATGGTGGTCGGTTGTGCCGTGGGTTGTTTTCTATTTTTTATTATAAAAGATAATATATGCCCTGCCCGACTGACAACAAACTGCTTACACAACCTGCCAACTATGTTAAGTCATAATTGAAAGTATGTTGACAGTGAAGTAGAGTTGTCATTGGCCTCAGTACCATTGATAGGCATATAAGCGCGAAGATGAGTGTTGTTGGTCGAAAGTAGGTACACCCCTGAAACTACTACAGACTTTTCATGTTTCACCGTCTAGTTGTACGAGTATCGATTGTGTTTCCTTTGGTTGACTCTTTGTAGCTCCTTGAAAAAGTTCTGATAGCGTTTAGGGAGGTAGTTAAGTATCTCTAGGTAGGTAGGTACCTAATTACCTAGGTACCTCTAGCTCGCACTCACCTCACTGAATATGACGTGTGGATCTCAATGACATTTGGGGAAGTATTGTGGGCTAAATGTGGCGGAGAAACAAGAAAGCCCCAAGATCTTGTGAAACTGTGCTCGTTTAAACATGCGGTGCTGTGTTGTAAAATGGTAATTCCGAGTTTAATAGGCAGGTAGATAATACCTCGCCGTGTACCTACCTATACGACCGGAACTTCACCCTCGCCACAAACACCCCCTTGTAAACAATCTCACTACTACCGTCCTACCCGCAAAAGCCAGAATCTCCTAGGGACTTTGACATGTTCTCAGCCTGTTGCGTCTTCAAACCTAGCAACTTGGCATCTCCAACCTCCTGTTTGCCACGGCGGCCTTTGGCTCCCTTCCCCCCTTTGGGCTTTTTTGCCTTGGCTCGAGTAGCGACGCGAGACTGCTCCTGTGTTGTGACCCGAGTAGAAGAATGCGGGATGCAAAAAGTCGAGGAAAGGCCCTGATGCCCGTCTCCGTGCCGTTGGTTGTTGGGTCTCTGGAGTGCTGGCCGTGCCCGGCCCGTTTGCGTCTTGCGATGGTGATTGCTCCCCGTTCTTGTTGTGATCGAGCTGCTGCGTCTCTTGGGCGGGGACACCCTCCTCGGCTGGCTTAGGGGCCTTGGGTGGTTCGTCGCCGAGAAGAAGATGCACTGGAAAATTGGTGAGGTCAATGTAAACTGAGAGGGAGGGCCCCGTCCTACGGATGGCACAGCAAGTTAGGGCTCAGACGAAGACAGCGCAGCGAACAGGTTCACCGCTAGTACATATGCAAACAATTGAGCAGGGTAGGGGCTAGTTACTTTGGCCCCTGTTCCGTACCACCCTCGTTTCCGGTTGCTGCCGGCTGCTGTTCGCCTGGTGTGTACCGCAAGTGGAAGGTGACGTCTGGGCGTTTGTTGCGGGGCTTTCTCTTCTCTGAGGTCTTGCTTTTTTTCGGGGGCTTGCTCTTCTCCGGGAGCTTCAGGGGCCGGCGGGAGTATTCCCTCAGGATGGAAAGACGACACGGAGGACAAACCCATGTATCATCGCAATCGTCAGGACAAGGTGGCATGGCAGTGGTTGTGATTGGGGTGACTAACAAACGGGCAAACAATAATTTGATTAAGGCCAGGAACCGACGAACTGAGGGTCTTTTTCAGGAGAAGAGGAGGGAATGGAGCTAGCGAGGATACGATTTTTGATGACAGAAATCCGAATTAGAAAAGAGATCAAGAGTTGCTGGTTGGCTTTTGTCTTTGTCTTGTATATTCGGCCAATGCGTGTACCCGCCGGTGTTTGCTTTGATTATTGTTTCAATGGATGCTTGCTGACCTACAGCTTTTGACTCATATTGGCATAAACCACATTTTGTAAAGCTCAAAAAGAGGGGTTGTAAGAGGAAATATGGACAAGCAAGTTGAGTAGGCAAAAGAGACCTTTGTGAAGGGGTGCTCGACAATATTCGGTGAATTGTGGTGAAAAGAGCAAACGAACCAGACTCAACAACAAGAAATGCTATTAGGTAGCGAAAGCCTTCCACCACCAAACAGCCTCACCCCAACCTTTTGAAATCACGTTTCCCCCTTTCGATTTTCTCCCGCGAATACCAGGGGCAGTCATTTGAATGCTATACTGGTGGGAATTTGGGGTCCTCATACGAGAGATGGGTTGAAATTGAAGGTACTAGCATCGTAATAGACATTGAATGATTGGGAGGATGAGAAGATAAAGCGTTGAGTGCGACAAGCTTGAAGCCGTCAACCTTAGGTAGGTTATTTGTCATGGAAGTTTGGTGTAGTGTTCTTTGCACCTTGCCAGTTACTCCCTGAATTACCTACATTCCCCACGGGTGCAATGAATGAAACCCCGTAACCCCTAGTTGCCACATTTGGCAGAGCAGGGCCGCCATTTTCGTGCCCCTCGCCAGTTTCTATGGCTAGGCTCGAATCACATAAGGACAACTCCGTCCACCACAGCCTTCACAAGTCGCCCACCCTGGTGACAAGGCCACAGGACGTGCAGGGGAGCAGGCAGGCAGGACAGGTGGGTGGGCGACAGGCAGAATTCAACACGCGACACACGCCAAAACGGGATGATGTGGAGGTGTGACCAACATACCCCTTCCCCTCCTTTGCCTTCTTTTCATCAACCACACTCTCCAAACTCTCCTCATCCACAAACAAAAAAAAAAGATACCTCGACCCCGATAAACCACACCCTCGTCAGCAAACACACTCCCCTCCATATCCTTCTTCCCTCCCTCCCCGTCCAGCCACTTGCGGAAGGTTTTTTGCGTCACCTCAAGGCCGGCACCGTCCAGGACAGTCCTGTCCTCAATCACGGTCCAGGCCATCTTATCGTACAGATGTAACATGCGTCATTGCTCAAAGTAATCACGTGCATCTTCCAGGGCGAGACGTACGAACTTGTTCCATTTCAACTGAGAGGAGTAAGTTCCTCGAATTATGACGCAACCCCATTGCTTGAGACGCCAGCGGGTGAAGTCGTCGAGGAGGCCCATCATCGATGCTGAGGTTGTCGTCGTCGCTGTCTCTATTTTTAGCTTCTTCTTGTCTACATGGTTGTGGTGGTCAAGGGGGTATTGACACTAAAGAGCAGGAGTGAGTGAGTGTTTGTTGCTGGCGAGCACCCACGGAACAAAAAAAGCTGAACCCCAGGTGCAGGTGTGGGCAAAACCTTCGATTAGAGGAACGAAAAGAGAGGCAGTCGGAAGCCTGAATTCGAGCTTTGATAGACTCGAGTTCTTTCAATTGGTTAACTTTGCTCGGATTTCTTTACTTCTTTGTTTTTTTTTTCATGGTTTCATCTACTATTTTCTCTTTTCTTGATTTCTTGTTCTCCTTTCGAGTTCGGCTTTTTTTGGTCAAGAGCCAAGTGGGTTGCAGCTTGCCCAGCCGGGCGCGGACCCTGGAAAGAATGCACGGCCCAGGCAGGCACACTGCATCTCAGCACCCGCACTTCTCATCAGCCGCCTCAATCCTTCAAGCCGAAACAGGAACTGACTCGACAGCGCGATTGACTAAGCGTGGCGCTGTGCCAGAATGAATAAGGCACGAGGCACGATGTACGAAGCACGAAGCACCTACTCTGAACATTAAGTCGACATCCGCAATTTCGAGATACAGATTTTCAAATTGCAATGTCGAAATCAAATTGTCCCAGTTCCAATTCCATTTCAATTCCAATTCCAACGGCCCTCGAAATCAAACCGTGGCTAAGTGAATGTGCCTCGTCGATCTATACCAAAACGCACCTCCGGGCCGCCAAAAATGACGCCTGGGACGTTTCAAAATGCCCTCCCGACTGGGCACACGGGCACATGGCTCTGACCCACTCTTAGCCCCCCTGGACTGCGGGACAGTGGGGGCTTGGGGGGGTGAGAGGGGTGTAGCCGGGGATTCAGCATCCTCCCTGAACCTCCCTTTGCCGTCATTCGCCCAAATCTCCGCTGGAGTTGCCGTTGATGTTTCCCAAGGGGAAGTCGACGCGCCGACCATGAAGATCTCCTCCACAAGTTGTAATGGGAGCTGGTACTCCTTCATTACCAAGTACCAACCCGGGTAGGTATTTTCCTGCTGCTGGCAGCCGGTTCCATAGGCAGTTCCATACTCTCCTTTTGTTGGTTGTCGATTGTCATGTCTTGGGCTCTCCCAAACCTGTAACACGCACCACTTGTTCCTGGCCTCCGCTCCGTTTGATATTGGTTCGGCGCAGTTACGGAATCTACAGAATCCACGATATTTCTCCAGACGGCATACCTGGCATAGCTGCCATCCCATTTCCCACCATTGCGGCTCTGTACATTACCGGTTAGGCAGTAAGTCACGGATTCTCACCAAACCCGACGGGCCCCAAACTCCGATCTCGACGCCGCGTTTGAGGCACAGGGTCTCAGATGAGACTTCGCCTTTACGGCGTTGGCCAGCCCTCTAGAAACCCTTTACCGACCCCAGCCGCCAGACCATCTGTCTCACAAGGGCTTCCAACCTGGGATTCCAGAAAAACAACTCTCCGATGCCATAAACCACACCCTTCCGCCTCCCATCCGGCTCGAGATCCGCTCCGGTCCAGCCGACGCAACAAGAAAACAAGAAAAAACAGCATGATAACCCCGGGCCACCGGCGCGGGGCGTCGAGCTCGTCGTCCCTCCACAGCCTGCTCCGGCCGCCGCGGCCGTCGTGGACGCGGTTCCTGCGGCCGCTGCTCCCGAGCTTCGTGGCGGACGCCGTGTTCCTCGACCACCACCGGCCGGCGCCGGCGTGGCGGGTGCACGCGACGTCGTACCTGGACGGGCTGCGCGGGGTGGCGGCCGTGCTGGTCTTCTTCTGCCACTACACCGAGAACAACTTCCGCTCGCTGACGCCGTCGTACGGGCTGGGGCTCGAGCCCGACCCGGACCTCCACCGCGTCGCCAGCGCCGACGCCTGGGTCCAGCTGCCCTTCCTCCGCGTCATCTTCTCCGGCCGCCCCATGGTCCACATCTTCTTCGTCATCTCGGGCTTCGTCCTCTCCTACAAGCCCGTGCGCGCCCTCCACGCCCGCGACACCGACCGCTGCTACGCCGCCCTGGCGTCCTCCACCTTCCGCCGCGCCTTCCGCCTGTTCGGCCCCTGCGTCGTCTCGACTTTCATGGTCCTGTGCCTGCGCCAGATGGGCTACCTGACCCCGGCCAAGGACACCCTCGCCGAGGAGTTCTGGAAGTGGAAGGGCGCCGTCTTCCACCAGATCACCTGGCCGTGGGCCTGGGACCGCGACCTGCTGCCGGCGTATGACATCCACCTGTGGACCATCCCCATCGAGTTCGCCCACTCCATGCTGCTGTTCCTCGTGCTGCTGATGCTGTCGCGCGTGCGACTACGCGTGCGCATGGCCACCGTGCTGGGCCTGCTGGGCTACTGCCTGGCCTGTGGCAAGTGGGCCGCGTTTGAGTTCCTCGCGGGCTTGTTCCTGGCCGAGGTGTATGTGCTGCGCGCGGCGAGGGCCAAGGAGTGGGAGGAGGACTCGGAGACGCACCGGGCGCGGGACGCAACTAACTGGCCGCTCAAGATCTTCCAGAGCTGTCTCGTGCTGCTCGCGCTGTTCATCGCGGGCTGGCCCAACCGCGACGCCGAAGAGACGCCGGGTATCCGCTATCTCCTCGCGCAGACGCCGTACCCCTTCGCCACCATGGACCGCCTGGCGCCGCAGAAGTTCTGGTTCGGCCTGTCGGCCGTGGCCATGGTCTGGGCCGTGGGGGAGCTGGCCTTCCTGCGGCGCTTCTTCGAGAGTTCGTTCGCCCAGTACTGCGGCCGCATCAGCTATGCCGTGTATATCTGCCACGGGCCCGTGGAAGGGCTGCTCAAGGAGCGCCTGATCGGGCACCCCCCGATTCCGACGAGCGGGGAGCCCGGCGCGGAGGAATATCAGCCGGCTTTGCCCGCCATGGGGATTAAGGGGCTTATTGGGGACGAGACCACGGCGCAGGTTTTGGTTGGCTGGGTGCTGGGGATGTTTCTCCTCGGCCCCTTTGTGATTTGGGCGGCGGACCTCTTTTGGCGGGGGGTTGATAGCCAGGTGGTCACTCTGGCGAGGAAGCTGGAGACGGCGTGCTTGGACGACACGGAGCCGAGCCCCAGTAGTCAGGGGTATTCGGTGGCGGCATGACATTGCATGTCTGTCTGTCTGTCTTTTGGGTTTTTGGAGTATTTGACTTTGTCTTACTGGATATTAGCGGGGCTGTATACCTAGACCACTGCATAGAAGCATTTCAATAGCATGTGCAACTGTAGTAATTCACCATTTCCCTCAGGCTCAAGTCAGGGTTGTTGCATCCGGGAAAAGCCCACGGTCGGCTCACGATCCCTTCACTATGCGGTATATGATGGATGTATGGCGTACCTCGAACTTCATGCACTCCAAAGTCAGCTTACGCCAAAATTGGGCACCCCACACAGCAGCCCTAACGCGCTGTTAGGCTGCAACGACCAAAGATGTAAACATTCCGTCTCCTCATTTTGTCCCCTCTCCTCTCTCTGACCGCAGCGAGGGATGAGACCGAATCACGAACCCCAACAACAACATCACCAACAACAACAACAACAACAACAACCCCTCCCAACAAAATGGCCTCCGACCCCCCCATCCCCATCCCCATCCTTGAACCCGAACCCCCCCTCCGCACCATCTCCTTCGCCCACAACCCCGCCGTGATGCAAGTGTCCACCGCCCTCCGCCGCCTCTGGCTCATCGACTCGGCCAGCCTCGGATTAGTAGGAGCAGGAGCAGAATCAGAAGGCGTCGAAACCAGCGGCGCCACCGACCCCCAACTCCTGCAATCGGCCTTCCAAGACGCGATGCGCAACCTCGGCAACTGGATCGCGACGACGCCGGCGCACGAGCGCTGGCGCGACGACGTGTGGCGGGCGCAGACCGAGTACGCGCTGCTGGACCCGCCCGAGGGGGACGGTGAGGTTGATGAGGCGGGAGAGGGCCCGCTGTTTACGCCGTTGCGGCGGGCCGTGTATGGGGTGTACGACCACGTGTTTTGGGACGTGTACCAGGCGCTGAAGGAGGAGGCGGGTGCGGTGGGGGTGGGCGAGTATCAGCCGCCGGCGACGGTGGTGATGGTGTTGCGGTTTGCGGGGGAGGGGGGTGATGGGGAGGGGGGGTGGGGGGGGTCGGTGGCCATGTGGTGGTGCCGTGCTGTTGTAGTTGCGTCTCAATACCGTCACGGAGGATGATTGACTTGGTTCTGGTGCTGCGTGGTTCAAACTCAATGACCATCGAAGGTTAAAGGAATCGAGAAATATGTCTC